ACTAAAACGTAGTGATTCATTTAGTGAGCTTTTGTGATACCAGAAGAACACCATACTCTGAAGGCCCTTATGGTGATATGGAAACAAATCATTATGTAATATATCTAAGGACCATAAGGATAATACAAATAAAGCACCAAAGGGAAGAATCAGAAAAACTTTCCAGATGTGCAAAACCTGTTAGGTAGAATGTGTACACATTATTTAACCATTGTTAAGATGAAAAACTATTGGAATCCTGGAATTAGTAGCTTATTTTTCAGCTTCCTGCTGGAGGGTGGTTGCCCTGGAATTAGCTTCCACCAATTTAGTCTAGATTAGTCTGGATCTTTCCCACATTTTCATGTTGTTTCCATAAAACAGATTTTTTCTAGATGCTTAGAAGGAAAACCCTTGAGGCTGGATACAAGTTCATTTCACCTGAACCTGAGGAAGCAGGTCACTGAAACTTCTCCTTGGTAGGGAGACTTCCTAAATGCCTCTCTTGGGGCTGATGATGGCTGAATGGGGAGGGCAATCCGTGCTGAGATCCCTTTGCAAAGGGCTGGCATCAAAGAAAGTTCTGAGTGGGGACTCAAAGAATCCCTTGAAGTTAGGAATCCCTCAGGAAATTATGGTTGTAATTTTTCTTTCTTTTTTTCAGGTCTCTTATTTGGCGTGATGTGTACATCTATGGCTGTGGCTGCATCTGTCATGGGAGGTGTTGTGCAGGTAACAAAAGAAGGAAAAGACACATTTCATTTCACAGCAACTTCCCCCCACTCTCTTCTAATGTCTTGCCTCTTCCTGCAAGATCCAAAGGCTGACATTTAATAATACCAGCTCCAAATTAAAAATACATGTAAAATGTTAACCAAAATCACTTTCAGAAGGGGAAACTATTAAAACTAGTGATGGGATAGTGAAATAAAATTAGAAACTCCTAAAAATTCACATTTGAGAATTTATTATCTTGATATAAAAGTGGTGATAATAATAGTAAAAACAATAATAATTAACATTTATCTAACATTTATGTAACACTATATTCTAGGCAGAGTCCTAAAGGTATTATTTCATTTAATCTTCATCACTTCTCTTAAAGGTAGCATAATTAATGTACTAATTTTCCAGAAGAAGAAACTAGATGAAGAAACTAAGAAGTAACTGTCTCAAAGTTATATAATTAAAGAGTGGTAGACCTGGGATATCTACTCACCTCTACCTATCATCCAAGCTGAACTCAGAATTCCCCGTTCCATAAAATATCAGTGCTAGAAGGAGCCTTATGGATACTCTGTTTCAACACCTTCATTTTGTAGGTGATTACAGAAAAAAAGTGAAAGTATCCTGTTCAAGTTCTTACAGTTAGAGGCAAAGCTAGGTTTATGACCCAAGTCTCTTGAGCAACTGATCTCCATTTCCCATGTTGCTCAACTCACAAAGCAGCATCAGATAAGCACATCTTCAGATTCTACTGCGATTCTCTCAGGCCCCTTTTGTCTTTGTGGGGTTTTGTTTTTTTATTTGTTTTTTTGAGACAGAGTCTTGCTCTATAGTGCAATCTTGGCTCACTCCAACCTCTGCCTCCCAGGTTCAAATGATTCTCCTACCTTAGCCTCCCCAGTAGCTGGGATTACAGGTGCCAGTTGATTTTTGTATTTTTAGTAGAGATGGAGTTTTGCCATATTTGCCAGACTGGTCCTGAACTCCTGACTTCAACTGATCCACTGGCTTCAGCCTCCCAGTGTGCTGGGATTACAGATGTGAGCCACCACATCCAGCCTTGTGTAATCTGAACATCATTTAAGAGTTTCTTATTATGGCATACGTTTTCAAAAATGTTTTTCAAATGAAGATATGAGTCACAGTGAGTGAATAGTGATCATTAATGTTTATAGAATGCCTTCTAATTCCCAGAGCAGTGTAACTTATTTGATCCTTCCAATGACTAGTTAGATAACTTTCATATTTCCATTTTAGGATTTAGGGAACAAATCTGGGAGAGTTAAGTGATAGAATAATTCACTTGTCTACATAAAAGAACTTGTGGCACTGGAAACATGGTGACCTTTCTAATAAACTGTTAACATACTGTTTTTTCAGAGTTGCTTTGTAAACCCTTCATAATGTTTGAAGCACTCTGATATATACTCATCTACACAGTAGAAGTGGCAAGGTGGTGAGGTTTGTCTTAGTGATCTCAGGCACTTGTTTTAGGTTTATTTTCCTATTCATGGAACCTATATTTTCAAGTCACCTCTGATGACTTGTGCCCCACAATCAGTATTTACTCTTAAGAAGGTATCATCATGTCCAACTGGTGATGATTTGAGTCACTAAATTGTTTTCTTCCAGAGATATTTGTATTGTAAACTTCTCTGCAATTGAAGTATGAGGGGATCCAGATAGGCAAAGACTCCTCCAAAGACTGGCGGAAAATGATTTTTGTAGTGAGGAGACAGTTGTGAGTGATACATTCATCCACCTGCCTTAGTTCAGATGAATAGACTGGACCCACCTTCTTGATTGGTTAAAATGTATGTCATGTAGTTTAAGAGATGCTGATAGGCAAGAAATGAAAACCATGACCCCTCGTTTCCTAGGAGAGGTATTTGTCTCTAAGGTGTTCCACTCATTTCTCTGAACACATCTGACTTTGATGAGCAAAAAAAGTCAACTATAATTCCCTTATTTAATTTTCCAAACAGCCTTACTAAATTGAATTTAATGGCACAACATTCATATTCAGATTTTACATATTGGAAGAAGACAAGAACCCAAGTAAAGGGATGAGGTACAAAGCCAGGTTTAGTTTCACTTCGTGTTTCCAAAACCACCCGGTACCTATCGTATGTGTTTATGGGTGGTGCTGGGGGTGAGGGTGGGGCAGCTTAAGTCCCTTAAACAAAGACCTTTTCAATGCTTTAGTTTAAGACTTTAGAAAATATGTTCTGGAAAGCCTCATCCTGTGACATGCTCCAAGAAAGAAAATGTCCACAGTCAGAAGATTTTGGAGTACACGGCACCCTGCATTCCACTCTCCAAAATCCACATGATACAGGGGCATATTGAAAGCTCCAAACAATCCTGTAGTAAGGAAACCTGTTTCACTTGAAACATGTGACCACAGAAGCACAATGGGGTGGAGAGTGGAGGAGCCGGAGGGGCTGGGGTCAAATAGCAGCAGTGAAGATCAGTTAGTGATTTGCCAAGCTTCCTTTGAGAAACGTTGTTCTATCCAATATGCTGCTTTCCTAATGATTATCAGCTAATTCTGCTAAGAGCTGTTAATGACTTCTAGGCACATTTGAATCTCAACTTGAGAAAAAACTTTCTAGCTATCATAACGGTCCAGCAATCAAATGGCATGCCTCAGGGATTGGAGCTCCCTAATAGAGCAGGTAAGAGAAGTAATAAAAGGATAATAATAGTAGTAGTCAACATTTTGGGGCCTTTATGTGCTCCCTAGTCCTCTGACATTATTCTGTGTTTTTCTTGGATTCCACATTGGCCCCAAATGGGAAGCAAGTATTAGTGTACCCATGTGATATGTGAGGAAGCTAAGGCATAGCAAGGTAAAATATCCTGCCCAAGCTTCAAAGGCCACCCTAACCCCAATGCACAAAGCTATCGTCCTGTACTTGCATGAGTAGCTTAGAAGGGATTTGGGCATTGATGAGAAGGCTGAATTCGATGAGCTACAAGTCTTCCTCTGATTAAACATGCTTAATATAAGCAAAAAGAAAGGTAAAAATTAAAATTAGTTTGCTTTTGTACACTACAGAAATATACATAGTTTTAAATCCAGGAACTCTTGAATTCCCCTCCCCACCCCTCTCACTTTTTTTTAATCATGTGAAGGCATTTTTGTTCTGAGGCATGATGGCTAGTGACTTTAAGACATTGTCAAATATTTTTCCCACAGGGGAAGATAAAATTACCTTTATTAACTTACTGACTCTCCTATGTCATCACTAATAAATTAGCTTTCAAATTCAGCAACCCTAGAAACTGTGAATTAATGCTATTAGTCAGCAGAGAAAAAGCCAAGAATATTAGCTTAAGTATCAATGCTTGGGGAAGAAGGAAGGCTTTACTCTCATCTGCCTCCATTTTGTTAAGAATATATGTGAGGAAACCAATCATGCATTACAATCCATCTTTCTGGATAAAAGAACTTGCATTACAGCTGGGGGTGATTTGAAGTACCCTTGGTTCTATGACCTTATTTTTTTATAGAGAAAAAAGACTCTGAAGTTCAATGATTTTCAGCTTGAACTTGAAACTAAATTCAGGTTGCCTGCTTTTCTACTATGTAAACATACACACACATACCGACACACATACACATAAATATCGTGCTTATCATTGAGGCCAGAATTCAGAAATGACTTATAGAAAGCATGTAATTAATAAATGGCACAGTCAGAACTAGAACCCAATTTTGTCCCAGGTCTAAGAGAGGGATGATGCCAGGAAGTAACAGATGTACTTGAGTGAGGGGTTCATCTGTCTGCTTTTGTTCCACAGGCTGCCCTCAGCATTCATGGCATGTGCGGGGGACCAATGCTAGGTTTATTCTCCCTGGGAATCTTGTTCCCTTTTGTGAACTGGAAGGTAAGGATCACACAGCCCTCTTCACAATTCCCAGTCAAAACTGGCCCAGCCATTTTCTTTCTTCTCTCACCCCTGTTTGGAAATCTATTTGTCTTTGCGAGGGAAAGAATCCACAGTAGAATTAAACAGAGCTTTTAGCCTACCTATCTCTGACTTCAGTGACGTCTTTCTGGGAATAGAAATGAAAAAAGAAAAGAGATAGTCATGAACTAGGATATATCCTGACATCAAAGCTTACTCTTTAAGGTTAAATTAAGTCTTCTCTAAATTAAAGAGCCACAACATTAACTGTAAAATAGATATTGAACTCAAGAATAGTATTGTTGAAACACAGTTTTGAAAATTCATATTTATAAATGTGAAATTCATTGTTTTCTGTGTATAGCTACCTAGATTTATAATTAACTTTATTAAATTAATTAACTAATTTATGTAAGGGAGAAGGGACAAACTTGGGTTCTGACAGCTGGATCTTCATTTTGCTGCTCTGGCAAACTGATTATTTGGAGAAACAGTATAACCGTACTTTTAAAATATTTAAAATAGCAGAATTTTCTCAATCTAGCAAAATTGCCATTTTTCACTTATTGCCATGTGCATGCACACTTACATGCACGTATTTCAAGAAAGTTTTTAGATTCCAGAAAGCTTAACTTTACACTTATTTATGTATATACTATAGGGTATTCCATAAAGTCTCTGTCAGATAGAATACCTGATTAGGTCTCTGTGGCTACCTGATCCCTATTTACCTCTCTTCTAGATAAATCTTGTGGGGCCAGATAAAGAGATTGATTGATAGCAAACATTCTGGTATTTGCAGCACTTTGCAAGCAGTCTTAATCACTTGTCTGATATTGGGGTTGACAAGAATATTGTTTCTTTGGGAAGATAATGTGAGAGAAGACAATATCCTAGCCACAAAAAGTAGGAGCTAGCTATATAAGATCTTAGTGCACTGTAAACATTAATTTATTATCTATGTTAGTAGTTTTTTCTATTTGATCAGGAAAACCACATTGATTTCTCATTGAAATCACCTTGTCATTTTGGGCAACTGCTGGGGCCTTCATTTACCCCCCACCAGCCTCTAAGACATATCCTCTGCCTAGATATTTACTAAAGTATAGTAAATATTATACATTTTCGTTACCTTTCCCCTCATCAATGGCCATGGCTGATCCTACTAAGCAATCATGGCTCTCCTTGCCACAGAATGTGGCTACAACCTCAGAATCTGTCCTAACATGGCTTTCCAGCTAGCTATTATAGGTCAACCAGGGTTAGCCCTCCAGTTGAAATCCATCTGCCCTTTACTGATAGGCCAGGGGCAAGCAAAAGATATGCGTCAAGCCAAATCTAGCTGCCCCCTGTGTTTGGTATGGCTTTCAAGCTAAAAATGGTTTTGACATTTTTAAATGGTTGGAAAAAAATGTCAAAAGAATAATATTTCTGGCACATAAATATTATATCAAATACTAATTTCAGTGCCCATAAATGAAGTTTTACTAAAACACAGCCAGGCTCTTCTGTTTGGATATTGTCTATAGTTGCTTACATGCTATAAGACCCGAGTAGTTGTGACAGATACCACATGACTCACAAAACCTAAAATATGTATTGTCTGTCTTTTATATTAGAAATGTACAGACCACTAGTTTAGACCAAAGCACAAGTATTCAAATCACACACATTGATTTAGTTTCTTCAAACAATAATGGAAAAAGAATTCTGGAACTCATACCGAGGTCTCTTTTGTTTTTTCTGAACAACTAGAGAAGCCAACAGGTTTGTTTTCTCTGACTGAGAAGGCTCAGCTACCCAGTACAGACCAGAGCATCAGATGATATCTTCTAGTGGTCCTAATCTCTGTTAGATTGCTCTGCCTCCTCTACAAGAGAAACTGCTCTTTGACTTTTCACTATTTATTAAGAAATATAAACCTTAAATGACAAGACTATTAAATGCATTTGCTAGTATTCAGACTCAAACAAAAAAATATCCAAACTAGGCAGTCAGGGGACTCGGTCAGAGTTCTTGGGAAGAGAGATAGGAGTAATAATTTCTGTATAAAAGCTGTCAATAACCAAAATGACTGCATCATCTCCAACATCTGAAGTTTTCCATAACCTCTGAAAGTATTCCAATGAGGAATGAGGTTTCAGCAGCTTTTTAAGTATTAAGAGAAAGAAACTCTAAGGAGAAAAAAAAATATTGCTAGAAATCTAATGATCACCATGAAATTATTTATTGTCTTCAATTAAAGAACAAAATAGTCCTTAATAAACCTGCATTATGGGAGTTGAGGTGAAGGCAGTTTGAGTAGACTGTTTCCAAAACATGTAGCCAAGATTTGAGAAGGACAGCCAGGATCTCTAAGGCATAGAACTCCTCATCTCATTATTCTTTCAATAGACACCTTTGTCAAATTTCCCATTAACTTTTTTCTTCTTCATCCAGGGTGCACTAGGAGGTCTTCTTACTGGAATCATCTTGTCATTTTGGGTGGCCATTGGGGCTTTCATTTACCCTGCACCAGCCTCTAAGACATGGCCTTTGCCTCTATCAACAGACCAATGTATCAAATCAAATGTGACAGCAACAGGGCCTCCAGTACTATCCAGCAGGTATGCTGATTTTTAAGATGGCACTAAGTCCCATAGAGTGGGTCACCCAGCAAGAGGGAGGTGCACTCTTCAGAGATAAGTCTGATGAGACATGTGGCTCTCTTATGAGACTCACTCTGGGAAGTATCCAGCACTGAAGAGTGCCATGCAGGGCTGCAGCTTTCTGCAGATGTCCATTCCCCTGTATTGAGACATACAAAAATGAATTTGGTGAAAGAGTTCATTGGAGATATGAATACAAAACACAAAAAACACTGGAGGGTTGAAAGACAGGTGACTGAGTATGAGGAACATAATGTCTCAAAAGAATAAAACTGAGAAGAAGTAGTTTTTGAGCAATGAGGATAATGCTTATGGGCATGCTGAGTTAGGAGCACTGCTGTGAACCTATGGATTCTAAACCATGCAGTATGGACACAGGGTTTAACAAAGGATTTCCCGTTCTACTTCTGAGTGGGGTAGGTGACAAAAATATCAAAATACATCAGATAGTATGGTGTAGAGAGAAGATTGTGGACTTTGAAATCTGAAATACCTGGGTTTGGATTTTGGTTTTACCATTTATTCCCTCTGTATCTTTGGACAAGTTAGTAATTTGTAACTTCTTGAATTCTCAGAGCCCTTGACTGAAAAAAATGAGGGTATTAGCACCTACTATGCTTCATTTTTGAGAGAATCAAATGAGATAAGATTACATATATTTAGCAAGTAGCACTATACATGACTTTAATAAATGTTCATGCTCACATTCTAATTGTATGTAACAGCAAGTCTAGAAATATAGGATTTGTGGTTTTTGTGTATTCAGAGAAGTACCTCATTTTTATTAGTCCCTTTCTGATTATCATCAATACCTCCCTGTACTGGCTCATTCCCTTTGAGTCCAGCCTTCTCAAACTGGCCAGATAATATGGCAAATTACATTTATGAAAATCTCTCTCGGCCCGGCATATCTTCTCCTCTCCATTGTCTTTGTCAATTTTGAGACTAGTCTCGTCTTCACAAAGTCCAGAAAAGTGAAATGATCTTATTTGTATTGCTTAATTACTCCATTTTTCTATCTTCTCTTCTTTTCTAACACAATCCATTCTATCCAAGTAGTCACTAGATTTATTTTTTCTGAAGCACCTTGCTGAACTCATTACTACCACATGGAGATGACTTCAATGATTCGTGTGCTTGTGGAATAAAACACAGACTTTTTATCCTGGAGCTAAATATCTGCCCAAATTAAAACCTTCCTGTGGTTTTAATGTTTGTTAATGTTATTAACCATTCTTTTCCTTCTACTCTGAATTCTGTTCCTTCTCTTCTACCTTATGCCGATCCCACTCTTTCCTACATTTGAGTCCTTAATCAAGCTATTCTCTTTGTAGGAATGTCTTTTAGTGTGCATTTCTACTCTCCTAAAATCTGTTTATTTTTAAAGAGCCATAGTAGTGTCCCTCATTGTTCCATAAAATTCATTTTGACTTAGGTTCCAAATGGGCACTCCATTATCTTGCTTCCATTTGCCTTTGAGTTTTATTTTCTTTCCATAAATTTTATATCAGATAATTTAAACCTAGCTATAGTTCCCCATAAACCATGTTGATTCTTCTCTCCTGCATATAGTTACTGTATTCTCTTCTTGGAATGCTAGTTCCTGTCCCTAAGTACCCTCTTTGCTTGATTAGCTAATAATTGTTCTCTCAAAATGAGGTATCATCTTACACATTAGTCTGAATTTGATACTTTCTCTGAAGGATACCAAAATCTTTAATACTTTTTCTACTCAGGCAAACCAACCCATTTTATGCGTGTCTATTAGCTCCTATATGTAGATTTTGTGGCTTTCTCGTCTTTATATCACTAATACCTGTCACAATTCCTGGCACTAAATCTGGGCTTAATAAATGTCTGAAGAATAAATAATACAAATGGAATGAAAGACACAATCCTCACTGTAATACTTATAATTCAGTACATATATTGTTATATTTGTAATTGAGGGATGAATTGGATGGATTGGAATGCAAAACACATCTTCTCTAAATATAATTTTTTAAATGATAAAAAGTTATGCTTTAGGCTTTTGAGATGCCAGGCCCTAAAATGAATCCTGAGCAGTCCTCTACATTACTGTGGGTCTTTAGAATGCATGGAATTGGTGACATGTGTTGTTCTCCACAGACCTGCAATAGCTGATACCTGGTACTCGATCTCCTACCTTTACTACAGTGCAGTGGGCTGCCTAGGATGCATTGCTGCTGGAGTAATCATCAGCCTCATAACAGGTTGGTTATAATTCCTCACTTTGGAACTAAAGAAAACATGGGTTAGTGCATGCATTGGTGGACTGGCTGGCTGTCTTCCAAATGAGGCCTTAGTGCTAATCTGATACCCTCAGGTCTGCTCACTTAGGGGCTTTAACAAATCTTATGTAATACCTACTGAATCTTTTAAAGAAAGTCTTACAATGTTTAAATGTAGAATAGGGTCAGTAAGGAAGGACAAGGGCCTTTTGTGAGCCTGTTCTCCTGGTGTCATATTTTATCTTGGTCTTATTTGGTGCTAATAGGTGGTGTCTTCAATTATGCTTCTTCCAGATAAAATATGGCACCTCAAAGATATGCTATGTATGTTACTCATACATGTTGACACATAGAGTTATGTCTATGTGGATTAGCAACTCCAGAAAGTTTATATCATTGATCATTTTTTTGCATCAGCTTCTGAAAGGAGATCTTGGCCCAAGATACACTTTAAATTCTTCATTTTTACTGATAAAATTCTGCTGGGTGGCTGAAAGTTATTTTTTTAAAATTTTTTCTTTGTAGATATGTGGAATGAAAATACTATTTCCTAACTCAAATACAACTACTGTTGTTGATTTATCAAGTGAACCAAAGATCCCATTATCAGGACAGTATGTATAGATTAATGCTACTCTGTTTTTCAGTGTATAGTAGTTCATAGTTATCTGAATCTTACTATATTTTTCTCATTTACCATAAAGCTGCATGTCTCAGATATAAAGTCTTTAGTTATGAGTCTATTATTTTATATTTTAGATTATGGTTTTATATGCTATGGTTAAATCTGGCCTACTAACTGTTTTTTTTTTTTTTTTTTCTTTTAACAAAGCTTGCCCATTTATTTGCTCTTGACTATGGTTGGTTTCACTCTACAAAGGCAGAGTTGAATAGTGGCAACAAAAATCCTTTGGCCAGCAACACCTAAAATATTTACTATCTATTTCTTAACATAAAAAAAAGTTAATGTTTGCATTAGATCATTCATGTCATCAGAGAAATTTAGCGCACTACTTTATAAATTGTCAGGAATTGTGTAGCTCTATGTAATTATGTGATATAGCTCAATTGTATTCTAGCTTTCAGTTTGCTGTGGCGAAATTTGATACCATTCTAATTTCTGATTCTTGGATGTAATCTACCTTATTGCAGTCTCTCTCTCTTCTTTGTAACACATACTCACACATACATACATACACACTCATGCCATTCTTTCTGCTGAAACTTTATAGACCGTCTCTTTTTTCCTAGGTTTCTGAAATTTTATGTCCTTTCCATTCCTAACCTGGCTTTCCTGACTTTCAACTTAAGCCTATATCTTATACTCAGGACTTCTGCTGAGAGTTTTGGGGCTTATGCTCAATAGAGGGACCATGTAGGAAACAGATTTTAGGTTGCACTCTGCTCATGGAGTCGGTACTTTGGCATAGAGTTGCTTCGGCCCAGAGGAAGGGGAACTTCTCTCCAACCCACCCCAAGTTACTATACACCTAGTGACATTTCCTCTGCAAGCATGAACTTTCTTTTTCCTTAGGAAAAACCCACTTGTCTACAGGAAATGATCTCATCCCCTTTGACCTTCTCTTTTCTTACATAATATGTTCACAGTCCTGTAGTTTCTTGATGAACTTGGTTTCAAACAATTTTCTCAACAGCTACTGATGCCAAATCCCCAAGGTCTTGCTATGAAAGAGATGATAAATCCACAACTGAAGGCAAATGCAGAGATTCTGATTTGAGAATTTGAATTTCATTATCATTTTTAACTTTCCTACTTGTGAGAATTATAGCCCTATACTTTGTTTTACCATTTACTATCTCCAAAAGGCAATATTATCTTTTTCTGGAAGGAAACAGAATCTAAATCCAAATGAATTAGAATCCTGCCCTTCTTAGCAAATCTCAGGACCTGCTCTTAAGTGACAATAGATCTACATTATTTGTTGTAGTGTTTGATACTATTGTGGTTCATTCAGAGACAAAACTCTTCTCTGTTTGAAACCCTGGAAATGACTTTGTCCCAAATTAAATTCTTCTGATTCAGAGTTGCCCTTGGATAGGACTCTGAGGTTTTTCAACTCCTCCTCTGCCACTCACACATACACACATTAAGGCAAATGGAGGGTTACAGACTCTAAGATCACGTATGCTTAACTAAACATATGCTTCATCATTTATCAGCTCACAGAAAAGTTTATCATTTTCTCATTCATGAAATAAGAATAACAATGCCTACCTATTTATAGGGATTAGTGATAATTTGTGTAAAATGTGCTCACTATGTAGAATACACTCAGTAATTGATAAATATTATTATTGACACTAGTAGAATTCTATGTGGTCAAATGTCTTTTGACAGGGTGATGTAATCCCAGGGAATACATTATTTAAACCTCAAATTTAGAATTTAAAAAATCTGTATTTTTGACCAGGCACAATGGCTCATGCCTGTAATCCCAACACTTTGGGAGGTTGAGGCAGGCAGATCACCTGAGATCAGGAATTCTAGGCTAACCTGGCTAACATGGTGAAACCCAATCTCTACTAAAAATACAAACAATTAGCCAGCTGTGGTGGCACATGCCTGTAGTCCCAGCTACTCCAGAGGCTGAGGCAGTAGAATCACTTGAACCCGGAAGGTGGAGGTTGCAGTGAGCCAAGATCATGCCACTGCATTCCAGCCTGGGCAATAGAGTGAGACTTTGTCTCAAACAACTAACCAACCAAACATTTCCTTTTGTGGGTGTGTGTCTCAAGAAAACAATTTGGGAAAAATTTGTGGATTGACACAGTATCTGGCGCTTAAAAAAATGTTTATCAATGGTGTAACCGCTAATCCACTCCCCATCTAGGGATTTTTACACTACACTGACTATGGGACTAATAACTATAATTGGATAAGATTGGGTATTAGTGAATAGTCTTTATGACTTAAAAATTTGCGTAAGTTCTGGGGGGAGCAAAATCATTGGCCTTTACATGTTAGTTTGAATATCAATTAGATTCTTGTTCTACAGCAGGATTTGAAGATATAGGACATTGAACAGGTATGTTTCAAGGAAAAGAAAAGGAGGTGTGAGGCATGAGGCGGTGTGAGGAACGTTTAAAGTAGCTGGGAGGAACATGAGGGTATTGCTTATTCAGGAGGTTACGGTGAAACAAAAGAAGGAACAAAAAATACTCTTTCTAGTTTTATAAATACGGACTTAGATGATCTTAAATATTAATGTCTGGTTTAGCTAAAAGTCAAGAGCTTTTTTTAAAGGAAGAAATTGCATAATTACTGCTAACCACTCCACTGGCCGAAAAAGGGTACTGGTAGGACTTTCCATGATAGATATTTAAAAATAAACAGGTTGTCTCTGTTTAATGCTACATTCATGAGCTTATCTGACCTGACAATTTGTTGATATTTAAAAACAAACTCCTGCCCCTTTCTGCAGTTAACCAATTTCTGTTACTTAACCACTGAGTCCTGTTTTCACCCTTATTTTAAAAAGTAATCTCAAGTTGATAATGTTTAGATCTGTAAAGAAAGACTGGTGGCCTGCAACCATCTAATCCATTTGTTCTTTTGTTAATAGGTTACCAAAGAGGTGAGGTTATTCAACCACTGTTAATTAGACCAGTTGGTAATTTATGTTGCTTTTGGTCTAAGAAGTACAAAAGACTATGCTGGTGTGGAGTTCAGCATGACAGTGTGATAGAGCAGGTGAGCTGATGTTTGAGCTTCTAAAAATGTGTATGTACTCAGAGGGATTCCTGGTTTTGCCCACTTGAACTGGCTGCAAAGATGCACTGGAAAGGGAAGGCGGTGAATGTTAGAACTTGAAAGAATTTGGGTTTCAACTTCAGAGTTACCTCAGCTAATCAGCTTTTAAGCACATAAATAGGTTGATAGGTAAAAGTGCCTTGGAGCTGAATTACTGGCATTGCAAGTAGTTTTCAAAGTTTGTTTTAACCTCTGCGAAGGTAAATTCTAGGAAAATATCAAAGTGAATAGAAAAAAAACAAATTGAAGGCACATTCTCCTGTAACAGTTCATAGCATGGACTTAGACTGTCCTGGGATTAACCCTGGTTCCATGTCCTACATTCCTTGGGTAAATTATTTAACTCCTCAATTTCAGCTTTTTTTTTTTTTTTTAATCTGAAAACTGGGCGGGTGGTGGGGGAAATTACACAGAGCAACATGGATACAGCATTTCTAGTTCCATGGGATATAAATGTAAAACAAGGTCATGGTGAGAATGTACAGGCAAAGAAGCAGCAAGATGCACCTAACTCTCTAACTCCCCAGCTCTCCTTATTCCAGGAAAAAGAAGTGTGTTTAGGTCAGGCAGTACTAGAGACACTGTCGAAGTACTATTAAGGCTTCATCAGCCAAAGACCACCAGAAAGAGCCTGTAGTTAGACAAAATTGGACTTACTAACTTGATGCAGCAAGACAGGGTACTCCAGAGGAACTGGGGAATGCCACCCTCAACGAGAGGGAGGAAGAACATGTCTTTTATAAGGTTTGGGTTCCCACTGAAGGATTCTTAAAGGGGTCTATGGGAAGTAGAAAATGACTGCAAAGCTATCTGGGGCAGAGTTGGTAAGAGTGCAATGGTTACTCAAAGGGTTGTTTTGGCATTTGATAACTGCCAGACCTTGGGAGCAGCTGGCATTATCAGTGTCTGTCTTCCCAGCTTGATTAAGGGCAGAAGTGGTTTGTTGTTATTGTTGTGTTTTTCTTTTTAGTTTAAACTTATATTCACTTTTAGTCCCAGATATTTTATTCTTTTAGGACTTTAGGAGATGGACTCCTAACCCATATCGTGGCAAATATTTCTGAGGTGTCCATTGCTCTCCTCTCTAGAAAACAGCAGAATAGCATGTATATCACCTAAAGCTGAGTTTAGTACTTATGGCAGGAGGGGTGGGCACCACGTTGACAGAGAGGCTCAGAATACCAAAGTAAAGTGAAGACACTTATAGGATTCTGGCCTAAGTGACTTAAGGTAGATCTTTCAATTCAGATTTCTTATTGGAACTGCACCAAGGTGCAGACACTTATAGGATTCTGGCCTACGTGACTTAAGGTAGATCTTTCAATTCAGATTTCTTATTGGAACTGGGCAAAACTATGATGTGAGAATTTAAAATTGGAAAACATAGGTGAGGGTCCTAAAGTCAGTTTTGATAATTAAACAGTGGCTTGACAAGCAAGGAGTTTGCTTCATTGAACAATCTATACTTTTGAGAAAACAGCTATTTATCCAGATGGCCAATTTATTTTGCTGAGAAGGTAGCTGGTTAAGCAGACTGTTTGTATAAATGAATTTTGAGGAGGATGTAGAAGCAATGGATCAAGTTACTTACTGGTTTGCAGATTCAGGAAGACAGAATTTCCTGGAATAAATAATGAATTCATGCAGGCAGCTTCTGTTCTCAAGGCTATGTTGAATGGGAGGGGACACTCCTTGTGTCACTATTGGGCTCCTTTGCCAAAAAAATAATGTTGATTAGCATCCAGGGGAATATACATATAGGTGTCCCTGTTATTATTAAGAGGGCCTCCTATTCCCAGATAGAAAGGGGGCCATCCCTATCTGAAACTTATGTCTCTCCTTATAAGGTAATACTACTACCTCACAGGATTGCTATGTTAAATGAGAGATGTATAAATTTCTTCATGCAACACAAGACATACTATACATCCTCAATAAATTGTTCTTTTTGCTGTTGTTATCATTAGAAATAGTACCTTACATGGATTATCAAAATTATCAGTTAGAGAATGTCTTAGGGCAAAGTGGTTTATGTTTCTTTTGTACTTACATATAATTTTTTGATTTTAAGGCCTAAGCAAGATTCTTTCAGGTTAATTTGGAATACATCAAGGCTATCTTGCTAATATGTGTCTTTCCATTTTCCTCAGGAAAATCTTGAGAATGGTGGTAACTGGAAACAAGGGGCTGAATCTGTCTTACCAAACGGACTGAGGCGAGAAAGCCTGGTACATGTTCCAGGCTATGATCCCAAGGATAAAAGCTACAACAATATGGCTTTTGAGATTACCCACTTCTAAGGCAATACCTGTATGAATGCACACACCCACTCTACATGCACACACACACACACACATTCACACACACATATATATACACACAGACTCCACATACTTCTTGCCTATTGGTTAGCAGGCATGTATAGTTGCCATGGAGGTAGGGATGTCCAGTGCCTATTTGTACTTATTTATAACTACATGCAAAATGACTGTTTCCCAGGGTATTCTTTGAAAGACTCCAACTTTCAGAGAAAAAAAACCAGCTTGCTCCTTATGTCCTTTACTATTTCCTTATTGAATAAATGAGAACTGGATTTCATCACCATTCAAGAAATCAAAGTCTCTTTGTTTGGTGTCATATGAAATTTCAGGTTTTTCATTTTAGTCATTTTTTGACCATCAAAATATCTTGGAGTTTAGAGGCAGAATGGCAAACAGGAATATGCATGTTTAATGCTTTTCTAGCATGATGGATAAAACAGGAATGACATCCACCCCCGACCTCATACCTCACATACATGTAGACATATTTTATGCCACCCATCTCCCATCCTGTAGCTGCAATTGGCACACAACTACTATTAACATCCCTTCACTGCCACTGTTAGGTCCTTTTCCAGTCATTCCAGTCATTAGGTGTCCTGACCAAACATTAAAAAAAAAAATCAGCTAAGCACAGAAGAAGAGAAGTATGTCTGCTTAGTGGGAGAAGTTATAACTAAAAACTCTGCTCTTTTTGTTCTGACCATGCAGTATTTCTTCTTCCTATTACTTTACAATGAAAAATTGCCCCAGTGCTTGAGAAGAAGTCTGGAGTCTTTTTCCAGGGCTAGGTAAAAGGAAAAGGGATGTCCCATAGAAAGTTGTTAGGATAGAATTTGGTAAAAGAACCTTGGAAATAGTGTACCTGACCATAGGAGATTTCACTAGCCATAGAGTTCTTTGGACAAAATGCATTGTCCACAAGACTTGTACTCTGCTCATTCAGCTCATATGAGCAAGCTCAACTCACTCCACCAGGGTAAGGTAACAGAAGTGGAGAACTTCGTAGGTTTCGAGAAAATAATTTTTAAAGTTCTTGAGAATGAGCATATTACCAATTAAAAGATGAGTTGACAAATGAAGGAGCAGTGAAAGATTTTTTTGAAGAAGTGAATAATTGAAGTTCTGAAAAGGTAAAAGAACCACTGCATCACAGGGGCTAAGTCAGAGGACAGATAATAAAAAACAAAGCTGTATCTGAGAGTCACCTATATTAGGGCAGATGTCAGATATTTATTTTGGTGGCCAGATAGGAGCAAAAGGCCTAGAAACGGTGTGTTAGCAAAATAAGAAGAAATGGTCCAAATAGACAAGAATAAGTAGCTCCAAAGGTTGCTCTAAATATTTATCAAAAGAGAAAGCCTTGAAAGAAGCATGCAATACAAAAAAAATTACCAATATTTATTATTAGAGAAGATAGAAAGACAGACAAATCAATGGAGGAATTCAAACAAACAAGTTTATCAACCAGAGCCCAATCCTTGCCTTCTCTCCCTCCACTCAAATAGAAAAGGAGAATGGAGAAAGAGAAAGAAGGTACTGGGCTGCAGTTTAGAAGAGAAATGAGAAAAAAATACATTTGGAGAAAGAGAATAAGGGTCAAAAAGGGACACATTTGGAAAAATATCTGAAAATGAGAAGGAACAGATCTTCTAGAAACATTTTTTGAAGTCTGGCAAGGCTAATTTAGCTGTTGATCTAAGAATTTGCAAATTGAGAGGTGCAATGATTTTCCAAATTATTTGTGACACTTATTAATTACAATATATATATTTTGGGAATATTGGAATCTGAGCCAAACTAAATTGCCTTTATAAATATCTTAGGGAAAGAAGAGAGAAAGAACGAAGGGGAGAGAGAAAGAGAGACAGAGAGAGAGAAAGGAAAGAAAAAAGGGAGAGAGAAAAAAATGAATAAAAAATAGTAATTCTGAGGATGGGAATAAGTTAATGGCAGACATTATATATGTGTGTACATATATACATATGTATACATATATATGTGAATATGATTTGGAATACATAAGGATTGTGAACTTCCACTTAGGACAGGATAAAATCAAAATATACCATGCAATTTTTCATTTTACTCGTAAATTTTTCTAAAGAGATTTCACTAGATCAGTACCTTTCTGAGAAAGTTTTCAGGATGTTTGTTCTTTTACAGTCCCTAATTCTCTTACCTGGAGTGTTATCAAAATGCCATACATCTGGAAGATGCAACTATTATTATAAAAATATCTCTGCCTTCTCTTATGTGATGAAATTTATAGCATTAGGAGATGACATTTCAAGAGATTTTAGAGGTCAATGTAAAGACTCCCCCCCATTCTTCTTAATTGAACAAACATGCATAAATCTAGGGTTTCAGGTAGGGAGCAGATGGGAATCTACGGGAAACTGTCTTCACAGTTTATGAAAGCAATGTTTGTTGTGTGGTGAAGCAGAAGGGAACTATGAAGTGCAGAGTCAATAGATTCAGCTAGTGAATCTACTCCTCTCAGGCTCTTCCTAGGAACGGCAGCCCAGAGTCATGCCAAGGCCACTGGTGCAGTACAAACACAGTCCAGTGACAAGTTCAGTCCATACCATGGAAGAGGGTTAAACTTGTGGGAATGATAAGGTTTAGAGGGTCCTAAAATGTGCCAGACTTGATACTCACCACTGTACCTTTAAAGCACAACCACAGATATTGGTAAAAATGGAACAGAATTACCTCAATGCTTCTTTCACTCATTCTGAATGATTTCATTTTGATGACTGACATTCTCTTTGTCATCACTTGGAATAATAACTACAATAGCTTATGACTGAGGTAAGGAAATGGAGTCAAATGACTTAGTTTAAAAACATGTTCTGACAGAAATATAGGTAATTTGGAAAAAGACTTTTAAAATCTTAGTTTATTCATCACTTAATCTCCTGCGTAAATCAATGTGGATTTGCAAATACCTATGTGAATAACAAACATTCACAAGCCCAGTTTTCCAATATTATACTTTGGTGTTTCAAATATTAGCCATCTTCAGAAGACAGAGTTAAGCTCATAAGTATTTAACTTCTTAATCACAACCTTACTTGAAGTGTCAGGCTGTCATCACAAATTAGAAAAATAATCTTACCCTGTGGAGCGAGATGTTCATTAATAATGATACTTCAGTACATCAGTTGGACAATTAATGTGATGTTTTTGTATTTTCAAAATCTCATACAGCTTTTTAATTTTATAGTCCTAGAATACATCTAAACCTAATGCTGTTTATACAACTAGTTAAAATTAGAAAAAATACCCATAAACAAGTATAGATAAGTAATTTGTATATAATATTTAAATAATCTTTTAAAATGAAGTTCTGATTTAAGTGTTCTGGACTTATCAATGTGAATATTTTCTACAGGGTTAGGAGTAGAATGGAAGATAATAATCTATTCTAAAATATTTTTATAAACATTTTATAAAGATTTATAAAGGTTTTATAAGGTTAAAACCTTACAGATTAAGGCAGGTCTACCAGGTGACCAAGTAAGCATATGCCAAAAAAAGGTTATTCATAGAATATAACACGACTTCCTTTTTGATGTTTTGGATAATGCCTATAATATTTAGTTTACCCATGGGCTAGGACATACCCACACACATAACACAGAAATAAACATCAAAAGGTGTTTATAACTTAAAAAAGTAGTTTACTATACATCAAGAAAAGCAATAAATAATGGTGATATCTTTTGTGGAAATTATCCTCAGGGATTTCCAGAAACAATTCATCTGTGTCCTAAGTTGCTAAAGCAAGTGTGTGCACAAGTGTTACAGAATCTGCTTTTGACACATTTAAAAGGCTAAGAGTAGTTTCACATAATTATTTATTTAATGTCCTAATGTAACTGCCGTATAAAAAATAAGTTAGCAACCCTCAAATCACTTATTTGCAGTGTGGTATAATATAAGCAGGCTGAATTTGTAAATAACATTATTGACTGATTTGGAATATACTTGATAAACGTTTGTATACCTTTATGTTAACTACTCTCAAGAATGCTAATAGGTCACCTTAAAAATTGGTTCAGTTTTTCTCAACAGAGCAAAGCTTCCTTAAACTGGCTTTAGAATTTAAGAATTTGGAAGGAATGTTTATTGACAGCAATACACAGTATATAGTTTATATATATATATATTTAAGATTTGCAGGGGGAACTGTAGGGAGTAAAAGGAACAATAAAATCAATACTTATAATCATCTGGATGACTATATGATTGCAACATAATTTCTCCTATTGAGAATAATAAAGGTTGGAGAAATCCTCTCTGTCTCTTCTGGCCATCCCCGAAGTCCCTTTTCAATTATAGAATTCCAGTAGCTCTTTCCTACTTGAAAAATAACAACATAAAGGTCAATGAACATAATATTAGGAAGATAAAATTACATATCCTTTTAAGTGTATTTTCATCTTCAATACTGGAAATGAAAATGAGGATGTTTCTTCTTTAGTTAGGCTTTTCACCAAAATCTGAGCTTACTAGATTTAGCTTCATAAATCATAACATAGACAAGGGAACAAAAAACCTTAATTTCTTCTGAGTGTTAACAGATGAACTACATTGTGGTTTTTCAGCCAGAAAGAAGGCAGGGTGTGTGCACAGCAGATACTGAAGTAGAATCTATTAAGTAGATATTTTTACATGGGTAGAAAGTCTCTAAATTGCTTTTATCATCTTCAAAACATTGCTTCCACAATTATCTTTGCTATCCGGTTTTTCTGCCACTCAATTTCTCTTTTATCACCAGAGAGAGAAAAATACACTGGGTAAAGATCAGTAGAAAAGTCTGTTCATATTACTTGTTGGAAAGATATTTAATTTCACTTGAAGAGTTTATGGGAAGGGTTGAATTTCATGTATCAACATGCAATTCAAAATAATTATAATGGTACTGAGGCAGTTTGAGTAGCACATGGGGCTAGCCACCTACATGGCAATTGGTTTTGGGGGAGTATCTAAATAGATCTCATAAAGTTCTGTGTTTCAACTAATAATATAAGAAAATGTCTCTTCCCTTTTGAAAAATAAAAAGGGAAGAGACATTGCTTTTTCCACACAAAAAGAATTAAGATTAAAAAAAAAAATACTCTGAGGAAGTCAATGTAGATCTATGCCAGAAAATCTCATTTCTTTCCTTCTTAGAGAAAGATGTAAAGCAGAGCCCACATAACTGACTATCTGGTATAATCAAGACTTCCACTTTGGACTGGCTGTATGTAAAAGAGGCTTTCTCTGGAGAGAATTTTCCAGAAGTACACACTGATACAATCATAAAGCAGTAGAAGTGGACTAACTTACAGGTTTCTCTTTGAGGGTAGACTTTGATAGTACCAGATATTCGAAGTGGTCTTAAATATGCAACATTTTTCTTGTTTGTTTCATGTTTGTTTCATCAATGTTTGTTTCATGTTACTTTCCTAAAAAAGATAACTTAATGTGGATATGGCTAGGATGCAGTGGCTAGAATATTTGTGTTCTCTAGGAAAAAGAAAGCCATCAAATGTGATCATGGGTGTGGTTTTTCAGATGAAGCCAGATGGCAAATTCAATTGAAGGTAACTTATCGCCATTACAAAGATATCAATCCTAGCTAGCAGAAGCCTGGGCTGATCAATGATTCAAGCTAAAGCCCAATTAATATTTCCTTTGGACTATGTATTGCTATCATATTCCATTTGGAATAGAAATGCCTGTAGGGAAATGCTTGGCTTTTCATCAGAAACTGGGTTGTTTAGGCCACCCCTAAAAGGTTCTCTCTGAGCCACTAATAATACCAGGAATGAGGTTAAGATATTAACTGATTTCCTGGATGAAACCTAGAACTATACCCAGAGCCCATTTTAATACCATGTTTTGAGGGGTAATGGAGTGGAAATATCTGGTCACCATAGTAGGACTGAGTTGAGCATATTTCAAAGATAGTAAGTGCTCACTGTTTCTTATACGAAAAAAGGCGCAAGTGTGTGTGTGCACACCCACACACAACACACAGAACCTGGGCTTATGTTAATGTGCCCCCAGTTGACAGGCTAGTCAGTCAAGCCATATCAGTTAAGCAACTTTGCAGGCCACCTGGATTTTCCATTTTGACCATCAGGTCAAAAAAAGCAATGGGCAAATAGGTAGCCTCTTTCTGACAGTTGGCTATGGTGTTCCTGCATGCCCTACTTCCTTAGCATGCACTGTATCTATGCTAAAATCCGGTCCCAAAGAGATTTTGATGGTGATTTACAGAACCAGCATAAGTGTGAAGAAGAGAAAGGGCGTATATGTGATGGCAGTATTATTAACCCTCACAAGAACTAATCAAGCTTCCTCTCTCATCTGTGTCTAGTACAAAGCATTAGATAGGTGTGATTTTCTACAAACACTTCATAATGTGCAAATGTCTTGAAGATAACAATAATCTTATCAGAAGACAGTCAAGACTTTTTAAGAGTAAGGTAATGGCCTGCAAGAATAATAAACTAGCCATGTAGCATTAAAGAATGAACAACATCCCCTACCCATACTCAACAAATTCCAATTTAATATTTTTAAAACAAGCAGAATTAAATTTAACATGCAAATTATAGGGAAAATACCATATTAAATGATAATTTATTGAGTGAAAAAGTTTTCTGTTCATTCCATCATACAATAGATTGTGCTAAGAATCATTTTGGAAGAATGTGCAGCATTCAGAAGTTGTATCTCATCATGCAGTCACTCAGCAGCATTTTATCTAAAAATACGTGCACAGACTCAGACAAATACAAACTATTTCAGCCATGATCTATGTTGATTTTCCACTTATTGTACAGTGAAAGCTCTTCAGCTTGGAACAACTTGTCAAGGCAGACTGCATGCACATATATATTAGTTATTTGCTTGAAAAGACAAGTTAGAATATGAAAATATATAAGCAGCATCCATGTAATACAGAATTCCTGAGAATAGTGTGTGCTATAAATCTTTGAGAAATAATTTGTATTCATATAAAAACCATCATATAAAACATTTCTCCCAACTAAAACAGAGTGATCTAAAACTAACACATTGCAAGGGGCTGTCAGTATTTTCTGTGAACAATGATGAAAGCATAGCTAGATTCTATTGCACTGTTTCACAAAATAAATATTTCAGACAATTTTTCTTTTTCTATTTTTCACATCCGTTTCAAAAGTATCAGAGAAGGCATTTTATAAATCAATGTATTACAATTTTTAAATGAAAATATCTTTCTGCTTTCATATTTTGTTTTCTAGTTGATCAATATGGTTTTAAATTGTAATGGGACTATGTAAAAACATGGAAAGGAAATACTTCTCAAGGACACAGCTATCGTTATTCTTTACGCTACTATTAGACAGATGTTGCTGTTTTGTGGTCCTAATTTAGAAAAGATGTTGGTTCATGTTATCATTAGGTAGAGAGAATATTTATACTCAGGCATGTGTATACATTTACTTAACAAAGAAAAAGAAATGCAGATGCTACAAAAATGGAGGCGTGTAAAACTCCTTTGTACTTAGTGGAATTAGTTGCTATGATTGCTATAAATAAGCAGGAAGAAGCATGAAAACCTCTCTGGAATCTGAATGGAAGAGTCTCACATAACAAGGGCATGTGAGGGAAGTTCAGAGTCTGAGGCTCTTCCCTTTGCTCAGAATTAGAGGACACGGAGGAAAGTGAACATGCTTGAGAAAAACAATTAAACAACTATCATCTATCCACTTTTCTTCTGGAGAGAAAGAAGGAAAAGCTAACAAGACATTTTCAGTGTTAATATTTAGAAAATAGTTTCCTAGTAAGAGAAATATAATCTTACTAGAGAAACACTAGCATATATATGTAGTAGCTTTATTCCCATTGTGTTTGATCTGGTCTTTTAAATTTTAGAAATAATGGTGCTTTGATTGATTGGAGAAATAATAATCATAGTAAACATAAATATGTGTGTGTGCATATGTGTGATTTCCTTGTTTTGCAAGGAAACGTCTTAATTTCTACCATACATTCCCCTACCTCAGCTCTTCTCTTTCTTCCTTTCTGACCTCCATAGCTTATGCCTCCTCTGAACCTTCTTGAGTGCCCCATCACTCCTGCCTCATCTGTCTGTGGGACAGACATACTCATAGATACAGAGTTGACACTGAAATAGAAATTCCACAACAAAGCAAAATTATATCTTTTACAATGAATTTGGCTTTGTTTCTAGAGAGTTTTCAAAAATAAACCAGATCAAACTATCAAAGAAATAATAACATAAAACTACTTTCAGTGATGAAAAAAGAAACTAAAACACAAATACGTGTTTTTTTCTAACAGATAATATATATTTATATTCATGCATTATTTTCGTTAGTTCATGAGTAAGAGTGCACATTGTTGAAAAAGCATAAGTGTTGCAGAGCATCTGGCCTCAGTTTTCCTGAATAAACATATTACAATTGCAAAAACTGGTGTCAGAGCTGCATAAACCACAATGGATACTACATACTGTGAGGGTGCAAAGGGACAAGGAAAACCAATGTATTTACAGCATTTCAAGTTAATATTTTGTGAGAGTTGTAATAAATCATAGAGGAAAAAATGAAATATTTACTATAAAACAGCCTTCCACAGTGAAGTATGAATTAGTTGTGTTCTAAACTATATAAGAATAGCCATTCATATTTTATAAGTATGTGGCTTTATTGGCATTTAGTACAAAAAACTGCAGTGCAACTGGCTCTGCCAGGGATAAAACAGACTTGAAGTAGCCACTGCAATGGAATATCATTTCAACGTATGCTATTCTTTTTGGAATCTTAGATTTTTGGTTTGATTACTAAAGGTGATGTGCAACTCTTCAACTGCATAGTCAATGTGAAGCAGCATAAATCCCCTATAGCACAGATCCATAATCTCAGAAAGAGACAAGGGCAATTCCTACCAACCTGTAAACTGAAGGGATGTGGCATTCTGGAAGCCAAGGCAAGAATTTGTTTAAGTCATTTCTTACAAGTATCTGAACTCAACCATACTTTCCAAAGTCAGATTAATTTGTGAGTGAAGACGGCATACTTTACGCCATGCCTGGCTTGTGAACATTTATATGGAAATCTGTCTTTCAAAACCTCACCACCCTCTTTCCCATTACTCTGCAGTTGATGGAAGGCAGAGGTCTCCAAACATACAACTCCCTGAGACTGGTTTTGAGAATTACATTCTTGCTTTCTGCAATGTCAATGTAACCCTTTTTAAGGTCCCTACAAGCCTGGATATTTCAAATCCCAGAGATGGCTGTGATACATTTCCAAGTAATATATTACACATGTGGTTTGCCAAGTATGCCTTCCTCCTAGATTCCGTCTAGCATTCAAAGTTGCCATCATTTCTTCCCATTAATGCTATCACCCCTACTGGGTAACAGGTGTCAACTAGGGCCATTCATGGTGAACAGGCTGACCACTTTTTCTCCGTTGTTGTTGCAAGTGTTCCAGCTCAGCCTCATACATCATTTCTTGAACTAAGTACTTCTCCCGTCGTATTCGTTCATGTAGGCCCTTTGGTACATCTGGAATCAGGTATGCGATGAATGACTTAATCCCAAAAACAAGGTGCTGCAAATTTAAATTTGAAAAGTACAGTTTTCAAAGATTCTGAAATGCTAATCATAAAACAGTATAATGAATAATGTTGCATTCGCCTTGAGTCAAGTATAAGAATTTAATATGTACCATGTAAAATATTAATATTTTCAAAATTATATTGAAAACACTACTGTTGCTTTCTTCACTTTAGGACAAAACAAGGAATTACTTCCTGTTTTTGCTGCAATATGTTGGTATCACTTTATATGTACCGAGCAAATCTTAAATTCACACCTATAAAATCTTTACATATTATGAAATATTATTATGACATGAATTGTTATACATGGATGAGAAAGATCATATCCAGGGAAAACCCATGTCCAATAGATCATAACAGATATCATGCAAACCACAGAGAATGCAGTCTGCCTGTTATGCTACCATTGAACTCAAACTCAGAAAATGCATTATTCATATCTATTAAGTTCATATATCATTAGAGGTGCTTTAAATATTATACCCTTATTACATAATTATTCTATGATAAAAAGACATATTACTTTTATTTTATTATTACTTCTTTGAGACAGCATCTCATTCTAATGGCCAGGCTGGAGTGTAGTGGCATATACACAGCTCACTGCAGCCTCCATCTTCTGGGCTTAAGCAATCCTCCTGCCTCAGACTCCCAAGTAACTGGAAGCACAGCTGCCTGCCACTACACCTGGATAGATAATTAAAAAAAAAAAAAAATTGTAGATACAGGATCTTGCCACATTGCCTAGACTGACCTTGGACTCCTGGACTTAAGAGATCCTGCCACTTTGGCTTCCCAAAACGCTGGGATTACAGGTGGGAGCACCTGGCATACATTTTGAAAAATGAATTGACAAAAGTATTGCATTAAAAAAAAGCAGAAACAAAACTCAAAGGCAGTATTTCTGTGGTTAAAAGTATACATGTTGAATGAAGCTGCTTGAGTTTGAATCTTACACTTACTAGTTGTTTAGCCTCAGGCAAGTCACCTATATTCTCTGTCTTATCCCTAAAATGGTGATAATAATAGTACCTCTTAAAGGTTGTCATAAGTACACACACACACACACACACACACATACACAATATACATATGTGTGTATATGGGTATATATATGTATGTATGTATGTATGTGTGTGTGTATATATATATATATATATATATATATATATATATGGCTCAAGGATTGCTTGGTATAGTGTAAGCCCTGCTTAAATATTACCTCCTGTTATTGTAAATGCATCCTGCTTTTCCTATGAAAAAGAGAAGATTGTTCAATTTCTCAGAAAGGAAAAAAAATGATACTAATAGAGTTAGCAAAATCTGGGGAAAATAACATATTCCTAATGGATTCTTAGTAGATAATAGTCTATGTGGAAAAGAAGAATTCAATGTGCTTTAGGTGGGATAAATTATATGTGTCCCAAGAAATTTTTACTGCAGAGTAGATCATAGTAAGGCAGGTCATGTTTTTCCATATAAAAGCAGATGATCAGAAGTTTCTTTCTTGATAAAATTATTTGATATTCACAGAAATATCCAGAAATATGCCTCAAGGGTATAGGAATAAAACTTAAAACATTTGCTATAATTAAATTAGTAAGGAGGGATATGCTTCAAGTCCCTGAGAATAAATAATTTCATATAATTGTTTTTTTGAGATGGAGTTTCACTCTTGTTGCCCAGGCTAGAGCACAATGGCATCATCTCGGTTTACCACAACCTCCGCCTTTAGGTTCAAGCAATTCTTCTGCCTCTGCTTCTGGAGTAGGTGGGATTATAGGTAATCTTTTAGTAGAGACAGGGCTTCTCTGTGTTGGTCAGGCTGATCTCAAACTCTTGGCCTCAGGTGATCCGCCTGCCTTGGCCTCCCAAAGTGCTGGGATTACAGGTGTAAGCCACCATGCCTGGCCAATTTAGTATAATTTTAATAGCACTGACAATTAGAACTTAATGCAGAATTATTTTATAAGAAAGAAGTTTATTCAACTCATTCTAAATGGAACTCTAAGGGGAAATATTTAATGCAATAAAGGATAGTCTCTTCAGTAAATGGTGCTGGGAAAATTGGATATCTATGTGTGAAAGAATGAAACGAGACCCCTGTCTCTTACCATATTTAAAAATTAAATCAAAATGAATTAAAGACAAGTGTTAAACCTGAAACTATGAAATCACTAGAAGAAAAACACTGGGTAAATACTTTAGGACATAGACCTGGGCAGAGAATTTTTTGGGTAAGACCTCAGAACTATGGGCAATAAAAATAAAAATAGACAAATGGGATCACATCTATCTAAAAAGCTCCTGCATGGCAAAGAAAACTCAGAGTGAATAGACAACTGATAGAATGAGGAAAATATTTCCAAATTATCCACTTGACAAAGGATTAATAAATTTGATGAAATATCATACAGAAGACAGAAAAAATGTTCTAAGCGTGGATCAAATTCATGGCTAGCTCTCTCTATATCTAAAAACAGTAAAAAAGGGTAAGGGACAAAATAAATTTCATTAAACAACACCACTGAAGTAATTTAGAAAAAAACACTCAAAATAATACTATATATATATTTTTTGTAAATAAACACATATGCAAGTAAACATGTGGAAGAATTTATACTGGCGAAAATGGAGTGGATGTTTTTGGAATGAGTGGGCAGTGGAATGAGCAATACTGAAAGAAGAAGAAAACAGTAGTGAGGAAATTATATGGATCCATGGTGACAATTTGCTTTGAATCCAGGCATTTTATTAACTTTGTTCGATTGAGTTCCAAAATAAGATTGTGGGGGAAAGTGTAAATAAAAACACAATAAAAGTTTTTTAAATCACTGGATTGGAAATATGCTATAACTCTTACGTCAGACACTCTCACTACATCAGGAGACATACATATAGGCTCAAAGTCATTAAATTATAGACTTTTGGTATTGGATGATACCCTTAGGGGTAAGCATTTCATTTTAATGATGAAGGATATTTCACTACAAAATTTGAAGTGCTTTTTGGAGATCAGTTGAGAGGTATATTACCTTTAAAAATATTTGTTCCAAAAGTCTTAGACATGGTTACCTTTTCTCTGAATAAATTGGTGTGGCCATATAGAACAGATTTATTTAAAGTCTTTTTATTGACCTTAGTGGTTACCTCAGAGAGGAAATACTCAATACATCTTAGTGCTAAATTATTTACTGTATTGAAATAACTATATTCTAAACAAGTCAATAATACAATAGTTTCTGCCAAATTTCTTCACAGGACTACAATCTGATATTATTGTATAGATCTGATTCAAAGTCTCTGTATTTTTAAATATTCTCAAGCACAATTTATTAAATCATCCAGTGTCCCTTACAAAAATATTTGTGATAAACTGTAATTAGAATTGATTGTTCAGTTTTTCCACCCCAATGAATCAATATGTCTTATTTTATTAAGATGATAAAAATCATTCTTCCCTTTTTTAACTTGGTTACTAAAAGGCTCAAAACTAGGAGGCTCAAAAATTTTCAACTCAACAGTGCAGTAGCTTTTTTTTTTAACCCGTATTTCCTGGTATTTAAATTCATATATATTCTTACATTATTCAGCTCTTGCTTTTCTGTACTTGTTATAATGCTTTCATTGTATTTAAGCCTTTTAAGGGATTTACTTAAATATTTTTATGGAAGTCAGTGAGAAGCTGATTTCAGAGACAGCTGATAAATCGTTTAGAAAAGCATTTATAGTAATTTTCATCTCAGCTTGTGACTTACCTCAAACACAATAATGAAGGCCAATCTAGCAGCAAGGATATGCCAGTATTGTAAAGTAAATTCATAGGGTTTGGAACTCCAAGGGGGGCCTCTGTAGTCTCGGTACCTGAAATCCAAAAAACAAACAGAATGAGAAATAGAGATCAAAGAGCGGAAGCCCGAATTTTCTTGATTTGCCAAAATGCAAAAATAACAGTTTAAATGTGCTCATTAACATGCAGAGGAGAGTACGTGAAATGGTGAAAGCAAGCAGGAAAGATAACTATTACAAGTACCTGCAATAACCAGATTTTCCCATACCAAGTTCACTCAGGTCAAAGAAGGATAGGCTATTGTTGACATATCCCTTTAAGCAACTGGGAGAAAAAAAAGAAAAACAACATGTGACTCAAGAGATTCACACGTTTCTAGTCTAATTATTTTATTATAAATACCAGAATTTTATAAATGTAATTATTCTTTCCATTCTAATGATAAACTTTTAGCAATTCAGCTCTTTTATTCCATTCCCTAACTCTCATAATTGCACCTTAATGAGACAGATTCCTGCCATGCCAATTTCTTCCAGTAATTCCTATCTTCCTTTTCATCTGATTTATGTTCATTAAGTAGTTACTACACACCCAACATTTTTCTAATTACTTTCTATGCATTAAAGCACTATAAAATATGTTTTATAAATATGCATTCACATAATACTATTCAATTATAATTAAGTAGTTAGCGAATAAATATTGCTTTTTTTTTGGAGACAGAGTCTTGCTCTGTTGCCCAGGCTGGAGTGCAGCGGTATGGTCCCAGCTCACTGCAACTTCCACCTCCCGGGTTCAAGCAGTTCTGCCTCAGCCTCCCGAGAAGCTGGGATTACAGGTGCCTGCCACCATGCTCAGCTAATTTTTTTATTTTTAGTAGAGAGAGGGTTTCACCATGTTGGCCAGGCTGGTCTCCAGCTCCTGACCTTGTGATCCATCCGCCTCAGCCTCCCAAAGCACTGGGATTACAGGCATGAGCCACCGCGCCAGGCCAACATTGCTTATTTTTTACTTATTCAACATATATATTCATTCAAGATCTATGATTCATTGGAAAAATTCTTAATGCTTGGTACTTAATAGTGAACAAAACGGGCAAAAACCTCTATCCTTGGGTAGCTTACATTCTAGCAGGGTGGGAGAGGAAAGACGTAAGCACACAATAAACATAAGTAAATTGTGCAGAATATTAAAATGCAATAAGTGCTATGGAAATAAAAATGAGGTAATTCTTCCAATAAGTCAGCATTCCTATGGTAACAAAAATCAAGTTTTTAAAGACACTGAAAATGTATGGAAATAAGAACTAGATGAACAAATGTTCCAAAGAGAGAAAAGACCTTTCTAGAGAAATTGGCAATCATCAATTATTTTTCTTTCCTGGAGGCATTCATTTGTCAAATCTGGGTGAATACTAAGAATTAGGCTCAGCAGGGCAAAGGGGCTGTACCAAGGGCAACAGAAACCAATGAGTTTTGCCAATTGCATGGGGCTGGGGTGACAGATTGGAAGGTACAGAAGCCCCAAATGCCTGGATGCTTTTCTCATGGGATATTTACTAAGTTTTTGGGCTGCCTGGAAAGATGGGGGTGGGAGTGAACTTGGTTTCCAAAAGGCAGAATGAAATCTTCCAGAGTGTCATAGCACTTAAGAGAAAAAGGCTTTCTGCAAGTCCTGCTGCAGGAGGGAGGAGGCCTGACACTAACACAGAGCCTCTCAAAGTTTTGAGGCAGTGGGGACAGAAAGAAGAAAGGTAAATTTAAATCTTCCACAGACCACAAATGAATCTCAAGACCAAGTGGAGCTAATTCTCGCAATGCAAGTTTTTTTCCCATCATATAAAAATTGCTCAGTGGAACTCACTACATTAACAGAACAAAAAGAAAATCTTAAGAACATATAAATAAATAAACATTTTATAAAACTGCAGACATAATAAACTATTCAACAAACCGAAAATCTGGTAGGATCTTAATGTGATGAAGAATATCTACATAAATACATATAGCTAATGTCATATTTAACAGTGAAATGCTAAATATATTGAACACTTCCTCCTGAAGTCAGGGAGAAGACAAACATTTCTCTTCTCACTATTTCTATTCAACTTTGTCTACACAAGTAGAAGAAAAAGATAAAACTGGAATTAACATAAAGAAACAAAGTCATATAAATATGACTTTATTCACACATGGCATAATTATGTATACAGGAAATACAAAATAGTCTAAAAACCATTTGAATTAATGAGCGAATTTAGCAAAGTCACTAGATAGATGCAAGGTCAATATAGAAAAAGTAAACATTTCTATATACTAGCAGCATATGAAAGAAAATAAAATTTAATGTAATGTAATTTACATTACAAAAATTTAATGTAATGTACATTAATGTAATTTAAATTTAACTATTTATAGTGACATTACAAATACCAAACATCTGGGCATAAATCTAAAAATGCCATATAGGACCTCTATACTGGGATCTAAAAACAAATCACATGTCGCAGATAATTCAATAAATAAATAAATGGAGTTAGCACATTTAAAGACTGGTTAAAATGTCAATTCTTTCAGATTTTTAAAAAATGGTAACTGATAAATTGAATCTAAAGTTTATATGTAAATGTAAAGAATCTATATTAGGAAAGTCATTGTTGAAGAAGAAAATGTACAGATTACAGCACATAACATTGATTTACTGTAATGCTACCATAATTAAGACTCTGATCTTCATACAAGGAAAGACAATAGACCAATGGAAAGAAGAGATAGTTCAAAAACGGATCCACGAACATACATTCAACTGATTTATGAAAAAAATGGTACTGCAATCCTGTGGTGAAATAATTGTCTTTTCAACAAATGGTGTGGGAAAAATTGGATGTTCTTAAAGAAAGCAATGTAAACCTTTGACTACCTCACAGCATAATAGATTAAGCTAAGGGAAATTGGGATGAGGGGTTTAAAATTTCACGTAGAGTCCTTAGGGTAGACTTTGTTGAGAAGATAACATAAGAAAAGGTTAGGAGTTGAGAGAGGCAGTCATGAGGGTATCTGGGGATGGACAGTTTCAAGCAGAAAAAGCAGAGTCCTTGCCATGGACCAGGGACTTCGAGAGGGTAGCAGTGGTGAAAACAACGGGAGGGAGGGAAATAGTGCTGGAAAATGAGTTCAGAGAAAAAGCTCACTTTGTATGAACTTAAGGAGGATTCTGGCTCTTAGAGTGAGGTAAGAAGACACTACTGTTTTTGGACCACATGAATTACATGAACGAACTTAAAATTTTAAGGATCAAGGATCCAGGTGAGAGATGATAGTATCTTGAGCTAGGTAGTCGCAGTGGAAGTGGTATGAAAAGGGGATGTTTACAAAGCAGGGTCAACATGTTTTCCAGTGGATTGTGTCGGGTGTGAAAAAAAAAGTATTCAAGGCTGATTCCAAGGATTGTGGTGTGAGCTACCATAATGATGAAATTGCTATTAACTGAGATGGGGAAGGCTGAAGGTTAAGCAGGATTGGATGAAATTTGGAGTTCAAATTTGGGCATGGCAAGTTTTAGATGTTTATTAGACATGTAAGAGGAGATGCCAAGTAGACAGTGGAATATTCAAGTTTAGAATTCTGGTATGAGAGTAGATCAATCCATGAAATTGAATTAGAGAACCAAGGAAATAAATAGAAATACAGAAGATAATAAGTCCATAGTCTGAGCCCGTGGGGAACTCCAAAACTAAAATGGAGAGATGTGGAGAACTAGCAAACATCATTGGACAGGTATAGCTGGTAGCAGGAAAACCAAAATTATGTGGCTTTCTGAAAGTCAAGTGAATAAAGTATATTAAAGAGGGAATGATCAATTGTCAAATGCTGCCTAGAGGCCAAATTATGTGATAACTGGGAGTTGACAAGTGTCATGACACAAGTGTCATGACAAGATGTCATGACAATGTGAAAGTCATGACATCTCAGGGGTGCCATGGAGCATATGTGCTATTGAAAAGAGTTGAAAAGGGAAGAGGAGGAGGGGAATTGGAGAACACAGGAACAGAAAATTCTTTGGATGTAGTTTTTGTTACAAATGGGGGCAAAGACATAAAGATGCAACTGGAAGGCAGCTGGGGCAAGGGAGAACTTTATTGACTAGAAGAATACAAGCATGTTTCGATGTTAATGTGAAAAAGTAAATAGAGGTAAAACACATAATGTATGAGAAAAAGGGGTGAATTACTAGAATAATGGTCTCAGAGAAAGAGGAAGAGATTCAGGGCATAAGTAGGGGAATGTTGCCTTTAATACAGGAGCACAGATGGTTCTATTTCTAGGAACTTGGAGAAGGCAGGCTATATGGGACACATACTGTAGGTAGGAAGATGTGATATTAGACATCTGTGGAAGTTCTTTTCTAATTGCTTCAATTTTTTTTTAAGTAAGAAGCAACATCAGTTCAGTGAGAATAAAAAAGAAGGTGCAGAAGGCTTGAGGAGCAAAGGAGAAGGCATGATAAACTTCTCTAAAAAAGTAGACGGGCAAATGGACGAAAAAAATAAAATATGTTTATCAGGTCCACACAAAGCATGTGATACCAATTTAAAGTGAAGCTAGTCAGTGTGGTTGTTCGTTTTCCAACATTCACACGCAGCTGCATGAGTGCAGTGTATAGTAGACAAAGAGTTCGGAGAACCAAGGATGTGATTCTGCAATTCCATAACAAAGTGAATGGGGGCAGAGACCTGCATATCCAAGGAAGTGGTTACAGTGATTGGGCAACTGATTTGTAAGATGTTTAAATTTAAAAACATCTGACTGAACTTCTTACTCACTTTTTTTTTTTTTTTTTTTTTTTTTTTTTTTTTTTTTTTTTTTTTTTTTTTTTTTTTTTTTTTTTTTTTTTTTTTTTGTGGCGGGGTACGGAGTTTCGCTCTTGTTACCCAGGCTGGAGTGCAATGGCGCGATCTCGGCTCACCGCAACCTCCGCCTCCTGGGTTCAGGCAATTCTCCTGCCTCAGCCTCCCGAGTAGCTGGGATTACAGGCACACGCCACCATGCCCAGCTAATTTTTTGTATTTTTTTTAGTAGAGACGGGGTTTCACTGTGTTGACCAGGATGGTCTTGATCTCTTGACCTCGTGATCCACTCACCTCGGCCTCCCAAAGTGCTGGGATTACAGGCTTGAGCCACCGCGACCGGCCTCAAATTTTTTATGTTGGCCAAATTATGGTGAGGAATACAATCACTACTAATATTGTTTGGTGCCACTGCCTTTAGTTATGCAAAACTAGAGAAACTTTATTCACCAATATTTTTGGATCACTAGGGCAAATGTAAACATATTAAAAGGGAAAATGATATCTTAATTTCATTATAAAAATTCTATTGACTTCATGGACCCCTGAAGGAGATCTGCAGACCACATGTTAAGAAGGACTGCCCTCAGATAAATAGTTGAAACCTAGATTCAAATACACATCTATTTGATTCTAAACGTTGAATTCTTAATTACAGAGAGCTATGCTGGTTTCACTCCATTAGTTGTCCATCTAAGACCCAATAATTTATCATTTCACCTACTCTCTTCCCAATATCCTTCTCTCCCACTGTCATCTTGTCCTTCTGCCACTTGGCTTCAAAAATTTCCAATCTGAATCAATCTGTGCCAATTTAGCTGCTAAGCATACATGGAAAATAATTAAACAGGGTGTTCTTCTGAATGTGTGGTGTCAGTGTAACATAAGCCCTTCACGTCTTTGCTTGAAATTAGTCTACATTCCTAACAACTGAATATGGAGACGAGATCGGGTGCTACCTACATGAAAAGCAGGTTCTGGAATGTAGAGTACCTGTCAATCTCATTTTCATCTGCCACTAGGTGGCAGTGAAGACACTGGCAAATAATGCTTCCATGGACGAGGACTCCTTGACAATCCTATATATTTTAAAACCTTAACATCTGCTTCTAGATTATTTTGAATTAAGAAAAAACAGGGTCTTTTAAACTACGAATACAAAATCCCACTTATATTGAAATAGTGCTTTGTAGTTCATAAGATCTTATCTCAGACACCATTTCTTAATCATAAGGGCTATGAACACTTTTTATCATGACCAACTAGGTCCAGCTTAATGATGTGCCTTTTACTAAAAGGCAAAGTTAGAACTTGAACGTCAAATGTCTAGCATCAAGTTAAAATCCTTTGACAAGATCCCAAAATATGCAATATATAAAGGAAATATCCATCCCTTTATCACCTCTCTGAAAAATTGAGACATTTACATCCAGAAAGGTAATTCATTGATCCGAGAAAATGTCAGCTCCTCAGCAGAGTTAACAGTGGATTTCCTCCTGTTCCAGGGCTCATTCTGCTGTGGCACATGTCCTGCATCCAGATCAGCTGCATACTGCTGAAGGAAGCAGGAGAAGCTTCTCCTGTGAGCTTCTCCCACATCTAAGTCTGATCTCCAACTACAGCTCTGTTTTACGTGTCTCCAACTCCTCCCTATTCCTCAAATCCAATGCCCTCTTGCCTTTTCCCCCAATACCTTATTTCGGTAAGGAAATAGCTGAAAAAAACCTATATGACCTAAAGCAGTGGTTCTAAACTGGGTGATTTTGTCCCCCAGAGGACATCTGGCAATCACCAGAGATAATTTTGGTTGTCACAACTTGGGGAATAGGGAGGTTACTATTGGTATCTACTGGATGGTGATCAAGGATGTGGCTAAACATCCTACTATGTACAAGACAGCCCTCTGCCTCTATGAAAAGATAGAATTACTAGGTCTAAAACATCAATAGTGCAGAGGTTGAGAAACTGTGTTATAAACAGTGGATTTAAATTTTAAAAGCAAATACATGGGAGACAGAATATTTTGCATTCTTAAAGCCCTTAGTTGTAAATTCCTTTTTGAAAATCTCTAGACATATAGCCGACAGTTCCTTCATGTTCTGCTTCTCCCCGCAAATTAGCACCGTTCCATTCAGCCATTTGATTAGCCAGCATAGGTTGCAGTTTCCCCATCTATACGGTAACAAGATTGTACTGGGTGATTTCTAAGATAACTTCTATTTACAAAATGTAACTTCTACATATATTTTTAATATTTTGATATTTGTGATGGGTTTCCAAGTAAAAGCATTAGACTCTAAGATTATTTGCTATAATAACACTGTTGTCCTTTCTACCTTGCTTGATTTCATCTAATAAACATATTATAAATGCAATGCTTAGAAACACTACCCTTAACGGTCACAGAACAAAACTTCCCAATAAGTTCCCATTTAAATTACAAATGTAAAACATATCAGGAGAATATTTAAATTTTAACCTTACTTTTCATTTTGTTCTACATGATTTGCACAGGGGCCATATTTGTATTCATAGACAAAACGTGGGATGTAATCTGAAGTAATAGCAATTACAAATGCATTGGTGATCACAGCCAATATACCAATTCCTTCAAGAATTCCAAGCCAGATACCTGGTAAGATAAAGATTAATCATGGTGAACAAAAATAAAAAATATGAAAGCCCTGTGATTAATCTTATTTTGGAAACAATGTTTTGCTTATGTTGGGACCCCAGCTCTGTCCACAATGTGCTTTCTTAGTATAGTACTTTGCTCCAGATATTATAGCTATTGAATAACCTTTTTCCGCAAAGGGAAGATAGATCTCATCTAGAAATATTTAAAAATTGAAATGCCATTAGGACTGCATTCATGTCAGCAACAATGAGACATGGCACAGGTGCACAAGATATTTCAAAGTCTAATTTACAGAACTTGCTGAGGCAGTAAAAATAATATATAAGAAACTTCAAGTTCTACATGGTTATGCATACTGTGAAATATCTGCAGTTACTCTGGAGTTTGTCTTTATTTTTGTCAAATATCTTTTCAAAGTAAAAATATAATGCTCTGTATATAGGTATAATGTGTATATTATATATATTATATATAATTACATATTTTATATATATTACATATTTTATATATATATAAGATATATATCTATATAAAAATACACACACACATAGTTCCTTTGTGCTGCTCTAACAAAATACTTGAGACTGGGTAATTTATAGCGAACAGAAGTTCCTTGCTGTTTTGAGGCTAGGAAGTCCTAGATCAATGCACCAGCAGGTTCAATATCTGGAGATGGCCAATAATACACCTAAAATATAGGTATATTATATATAACAATATATACAGAGCATTATATTTTACTTTAAAAAGATATTTATATATAAAAATACTATATGAAATACGAATCATACAAATAGGATTAGTATTCCCTAAATAGGGCCAGATTACCAAATCAGATATAATGGCCAAATGGCCAAAGAACATAAACACAATTAAGAAAGAAAAAATATGAATATATTACAAAATATATTACAAAAATACTAGTAAATAGAACAATAAAAATTTTCCTCTTCAGTTTCTCAAGGATAGAACAACAATCTAAAAATCCTTATTACACTTGGAATTGTTGCAGAATAGAGAAATAGACTTATGATGAGAGTGTAAATTGGCACATTTCTGTAGGGCATGCTGCCAAATTATGTATCAAAAACTTAAATGTGTATGCTCTTTGAACAGGAGTTCCAGTGTATCCTGAGGAAATAATCTGGCAAAGTATATATGAATATGGTCACTTCAGTGTTGTTTATAATAGCAAAGTACTGAAGCAATCTAAACATCTCTGACTAAAGTAATAATTTTTTTTTTTTTTTTTTTTGAGACGGAGTTTCGCTCTTGTTACCCAGGCTGGAGTGCAATGGCGCGATCTCGGCTCACCGCAACCTCCGCCTCCTGGGTTCAGGCAATTCTCCTGCCTCAGCCTCCCGAGTAGCTGGGACTACAGGCACGCGCCACCATGCCCAGCTAATTTTTTGTAGTTTTAGTAGAGACGGGGTTTCACTGTGTTGACCAGGATGGTCTTGATCTCTTGACCTCGTGATCCACCCGCCTCGGCCTCCCAAAGTGCTGGGATTACAGGCTTGAGCCACTGCGCCCGGCCTAAGTAATAATTTTTAAAATGCCATACACTTATAATAGAAACCTGTGCAGCAATTATACAAAATGAGGCAGAACTGTGTCTATTGACAAGGAAAGGTCTATATGAAATCCTTTTTAGTTATGAACAAGTTTATGAAATAGCATGTTAAATATAAACATAGTCTCAACTGAATTAATATTCCTTTTTTCTTCTGATGACTAAAAGTGTTAAGTTTTGTTATGGTTGGAAGGGTGTCCTCATAGTAGAAAACCACATGGTGCTAGCTAGGACCAAATTATGTTGTCTTCGTCCCTTTGTGCTGCTATAACAAAAATACCTGAGACTAAGTTCCTTGCTGTTTTGGAAGCTAGGAAGTCCTAGATCAAGGCACCAGTGGGTTCAATATCTGGAGATGGCCTAGCTTCCAGCTTCCAAAATGGCACCTTGCTGCTGCATCCTCTGGAGGGGACAAACCCTGTGTCCTCACATAGCAGAAGGTGGGAAAGCAAAAAGGGGATGAATGTTGTGTTCTCACACCTTGGGTACTGGAAGAGATTGAAGCCACTCCTTCAAGCTTTTTTCTAAGAGTCCTAATCCCGTTCATGAGGAATCATGGCTTAATCACTTCTTAAAGGCTTCTTAATGCTCTGACACTGACAATTAAATTTCAATATATGAGTCTGGGGCACACTCAAACCATAGCACACTTCTTGGTGTTAGTAACGTAAAAACCATTTAACTTCTGAATCTTACCTATGTCAGTTGCTCGGGCTGGCAAAGGCCTCCGCCATTGGGTAACAAATTTGTATGCATCCAGCCTGATTTCAATGATATTGTTTAACAAAGCCAAAAGAGGGGCTAGAGGAAAAGCCGCAACAAAGATGGTGGTAAAACCAAATTGCAAAACTGCAAAGTAAGAGTATTAGGAAATTAATAAGGAAAGTCACAAACTTCCTTTGTGACAAATTAGATGCTTTATATAAATTGCCTTTAATGCTTTCAACATCCCTACAAAGTAGATATGTTTATCTCATTTTACAGTTAGGACAACTTTATCTCATATATGTTAACAAACTTGCTGAAGGGCAGATACGTAGAAAATGTTGAAACCTGTATTCAAATTAAGTTCTGAATGGACTGAAAGTCTATAGGCCTTTCACCTCTATATAATGCAGCATGAAGAAGAGAGAAAAAGAAGAAGAAATGGAGGGAAGACTGGAGACACAGAAGAGGAGGAGGAGGAGGAACAAGAAGAAAGATGAAGAAGAAGGAAGAGGAGGAGGACAAGAAGAGTAAGGAGGAGGAGAATAAGAACAGGAAGGAAGAGATGGAGGAGCAGGAGGAGGAGGAGAAGAAAGAGAAAGAAAAGAAAGAAGGATGAGGAGGAGGAGGAAGAGAAAGTGAAACCCAATCTTGTCCTCTTTTTCTGTAGATAAGAAAACTGAAGACAAGAGAGAAGCAAATATTAAGGCAACACTCAGTGATTCTAACAGTTGGAATGAGAATCTCATTTTCTTAATATAAATAATATTCTCAAAGAAATTAAGATTCAGACTGAGTCTGTGCAAAGGTTTAGTGTGAAAAATAATTATTGCTTTATGTGAGTAGAATGGTAGGTTTCTTAACTTAGAAACTGCTTCAGCATTGTTTTGTTTCTTCAAACTATTAGCTCCTTAAGTAGGTGTTCCAATGTGAGAAAAACCTTCATTTTGGTCAATGCATGGCTCTCAGAGAACAAAATACATGAGTCTGCCAAGGGTTAGTATCTCTAGCTCTTTGAGATAAAGGTGCAGATGTGTTTTATAATACTTCGGGTTGGAAAGGAGAGAGATAATTTTCTCTGTTGAGTCAAAGCTTGTGTGAAGTAGAAAAATAATATCAAGAAGCCAAATAGCCCTGTCGATTTTTTTTTTCTTACCCATTTCTAAGTACTCATCCATCAGTCCATGAAGGTTCATGGGCTGCAGATTCCAGTCATTTTCCCACTGAGGTATGGAAGCATCATGTATTCCCCGCTTGATTTTATGTCGTGACCACCAGTTCTGGATCAGCCTACATCACAGAGCAGACCAAGGGCTTTTGAGATCTGATTCAAGCACCCAGTTAACAATCATAGTGATTCAAGAAATGAGTAAACCCAATTCCAGCTCCTCAGAATTGGAGGTATTTGGTTTTACCTTTTATAAAAGTTTTTGGTTTTATCTTTTATAAAACACATTTTGAAAACTTAAAAAATCTTAAAGAATTTAAAAAAAAATCTTTTGCAAACTTTAGCACAGGAGAATAGGTGCCAGCCTTCCATAATTCTCCTAGGTCCTATAAAATCTACATATTTATCTGGGAATTCATTCTGTACACTAAAATGGTCCTTGACATTAATTAAACAAATACTATTTCTATGATTCCTTCCCCTTTCCCCACCCATATAGATACTTAAACTTCTATGTTGCCTGCTGTGCTTAGGTCTGACCCTTTCATTGCTCATAACATAAATCATTCTGAGCTATACTCTTTGAACAGGAATAAAATCATGTATCACATAAACTAATTGACCCTTGGGTAGGATTTCAAAAGATTCAAGTTCTAGTTCCCATCCCACAGTGCATTAACCATGTGATTTTTATTAGCAAGTCGTTTCACCTCCCTGAGCTTATAAACATGAGGAGTCTAAGTGTGATTATTACATTCTGCTATTGCAGTGAACAATAATTACTAGGCAATAAGTCTGTGTCCGTGAGTCTGTATTTCAGACCTGGAAAGGAAGTAACAACACTGTTTTCTTAGCCCAAGTACAATCTTGGAATTATGTGACTCAGACATATTGTGACCTTCTGGGTAATGAATTATTTAAGAGCTCAGTGAAAATTATCTCCGGGACAATGTGAATTTTACAGGACTCGGTAAACAGTACCCTTAATCATGGAACCTAAGTGGCAGTTGGAGGAGCAACCACAGAACAAATGTCAGGCAGTACTTCACCCATGAGGTTGCCTCTAGAGCCTCATGAAGGCAATAAAGGGCTGGAGGTGACAGTTGAGGCAGATCCGCTTGTTTCTATTGTATTTATTTTGGTTCTGTTTAAAGTTTTGCTTAAAGAAAGAAAGTTGTGGTTTTCAAATGTTTTGCTTTAATGGCTGGTCTATTCCCACTAAATTTTCATTAACAAAGCCTTTGCCTAGGTATTGGGAAGAGTAGGCTGTGCCATGGTGTCCTTAGGATTTAATATACGTGACCCAGACTGACCCCCAGGGCGAGGCCATAATGAAAATGTCCTTTCTAAAGTGCACAGCAAGTATGGCAGTCCATGAGTAGTGATAATAAGAAGAAACTTTTTTATACTGCAATGGCCCCCACACCATCTTGTTGATACTTATGAAGTACTCATAGCATGTTACATTCTGTGCTAGCACCTGACACCTAATTTCCTGTTTCATTCAATCAATGTTTCCTAAACCCTGTTTTAAAGAGGTGACCCAAGAATAGGAAGGAATACTACGAATGAACTGGGCTCCCCAATCCTCTATTGTCTCTTTGTTAGGAGAGATTTGCATAAATTTGTTCTGAATATTAAGTCTGTATGAAACTCTCTTCACAAAAACGTTCTGTCATTTATGCTGAAGGTTTAAAAAGCATTGGGTCAATAAATCTCACGTAATCTTCATAAATCCCCTATATTATAACGGACAAAAAAGTCTTACAGAGGTCAAGGAAATTTTAAGCAAATTTAGCAATGAAGAGAGAAGGAATTTAAACCAGGCCTGAGTAATTCCACAGCACATTCTCTAAGATTGCCTGTAAGTTAACAAAACACTTTATAGCAGATTTCAGGGTTAATATCACTTCTGGAACCTCCAGGTCTTTGTTCAAGTATGTTCTGACAAAATATGTACCTCTAAAAGAAAAAAAAAAAGAGTATAATTTGATATATAAGCCCAAGCTACTTATATCATCAACCAACTAACCAGCTTTTTCCCCAACAGTCAAGAAATTATTCAAATAGTCATGTTTTTAGTTGAGTAGGCTCCAAGCTTCAATATCATATTGTTTTAAATACCCAGTAGTTTGCTCTATTTTAAAGGAAAGTATATTATTTTAATATACGTGAAAGTGAGCATTCAGCATCTCTGTAAGCATTTCACAGGCAGCTAAAACATTTAAAATAATGAAAATAGAATGCTATTGTTTGATGTTATCACAATCAGTCCTGTTCTAACATTTTTCTTCGTTGTAACAAAGAGTACAAAGCTTCCCATCCAGGATTTGATCTTTGCTCGATTCTTTTGGGAGGAATGAAGGCTGTCTTTCTTAATCAACAAACTTGGTCTGCTGGTAGCCAAAGGAACACCCCAGAAAATTATTTTTACATTCAAGAGCCTGTAGTGTCAATCATGTTTTCAAACTAGTAACAAGTGTCTTAATGCATTAAACAAGTTACTCTACATTCATTATTCTATTTAACCCTTATAGCTGTTCTTGAGGTAGACATATTGTTGATATATTCTTAGCTAAAACAGGCTCTGAAAGGTTTAATTTACATATGGTCAGACATTTAGCAAGAAGCAGAACAGGAACTTAGCCATCATCTGTCTGATTACCACGCCGAAATTCTTAAGCACTACTCACACCTCCTCTAGCTTTCTTCTTTGTAACTACACATTAGGCAAGTTTGAAAATAATGTGCTCACGGGTATCCCAGTTCCATGAAGTTGTTCCATATTTGCTTCAAAAACATAATGACACCCATCTGGAGGCAGAGGTCTATCAAACAGCCACTAGGATGACACTGAAATAGAACATAAGAGTAATAATGATATTAATCTTCTTCCCAGTTGGCTCAGGCAAGCCCACCTTTAAACTGTGCAGCAAATTTTTAAAGCTGGGTCACACCATCGTGTGCATTAAAAAAAAAAAAAACACACAAGAAAGAAACAGCATGTATGAGGATATTTGATGGGGGATTCTTCAGTAATTATAATGAAATAATGATCAAAATTATAATAGCAATAGCAACAAATCTAACTTTTGGTGAGCACTTACTGTCTGCCAAGCTCTTTGTTGGGCTTGATCACATTTAATAAATGCTACGGAATATTATATAACCATGAATAATCAAGGTGATAGAAAATAGTTAATTCTATGGCATGTTTATATTATTTTCAATAACTTATTTCAGAATAAGTTTACATTTATAGACAATTTGCAAAGATAGTAGAGAGTTCTCATACACTCCTTACCAGTTCTAGCAGTTGCTCTGTACATTACAATGGTATATTTGACAAAAGAAAATGATATTAGTACATTACAATTAGCTAAATGCAAAGCTCTCTTTGGATTTCACTGGTTTTCCTCTCTCTGCTCCAGGATCCAACCCCATATACCTGATTGCATTTATTTTTCACATCTCCCTAGTCTCTTCTGGTCAGTTCGAACAGCTTCTCAGTTTTTCATAACTTTAAATGTTTTGAGGATTGATGAATGTGTAACCTGAGGAAAGTCCCACAATCTCTAATGTTTTTCTTATGTTTAGACCAGAGTTATGTGTTTTGGAGAGACCAATCAATCACAAAGGTGAAGTGGAATTTCCCTCACATCGTATCAGGAACACATGGGAAGCACACGACATCACTGATGATGTTAATTAGTTAATGTAGTGTTTTTCAATTTTTTCCACTGGAAAGTTGCTCATTTTTCTCTTTTTCTGTTCTATTCTTTAGAAGGGAGCCACTGAGTGTAGCCCATTCTCAAGAGGGTGGGAGGTGTTGAACCTCTGGAGAGGAAGTATCTACATATATTACAAGGTATTTTTAAGTGATAAATGCAACGGCACAAAAATAATTCATCAGTATGACCCCATTCTTTCCTCTGTGCTTTTCTGCATTTTATATTTTCAGTAAGTTCCTATTAGAGACCCACACAAAAATGTGATTTCAATGAAAATTGCCACCAATGTATTTTACTTGAAAATTTTGCCGTATTGAAGACCTTTGGGTGGGAAGGCGTGGGTCTGTTTCTTTAGAAATGGGTCCATGTCCTGCTCATAAGGATGACTGTCTTCCCTATGACTTTGATCCACAGTTTCTATTTCTATTAAATTGGTACTAGTGGAACTTCAAAGAGAACAAATAATTAAGACACAAAGAGCCTGCTTTTCCTGTTCCAGCCCAGTAATTTAAGACTCCCTAATCTGATCCTGAGAGATTTGCAAATGGTCATGCTTACTGCATGAAGAGGTCTAAATTCTCCCATCGAAGCAAACCTCTTTTTCTAGGCTGAATTTAGCATTTCCTAAACTCTGCCACATATATCTTATAAACAGGTTCACTGGAATGACTGAGGCAGAATAATCATTAAGCTACGGGGGCAAATCACAGATCACAGCTGCAAGCCAAAGCTTTTCATTTTTGTACAGACTCAGAGGCAAACTGACTTGCCCAAGGTCATGCAGTGTTGACCGGTGCTGTGGAAATGAAAGACTTACCACCAGTTCCCTAATCCAATGCTCTTTTACATTATACTAAGGATGAATTCCATTTACCAATGTGTTTGCTGCCTTGAAGTGTGGGTTTAAAACATATTATTTTGTGGAATGGGAAAAAGAAGATGATCATAGGATCATGTGATTTCACTCCCCACAAAAAAAAAGTAGGGTAGCTAGAAGACAAGTCACTTATAATTTCCTTAAAATTGAGCCTTGATGACTTTATGATTTGTAAGGAAGATAAGGGGGTCCAATAGTTTTTGTGGGTTTGTCAATTCCCATAATGATGGCCTTGCACTAAAGCCAGTCTATCAAAACTCTGTTTCATTTGGTAAAAAGAGCCCATACTTAGAATGTATAAAAGGGCTTGAGTAAGTGTGCAGAAGACACAGGCATTCTATGGATACAATAATAGAATTGTGAGGATTAAATGCATTAATACACAGAGAGCACTTAGAAACAATTGCTGGAGTATGTTAGCACGTAGTAAGCCCAAATTGGGTAGGTGATCAGTCTTTTAGCAGATACAGTCATAATTCTGGGCCATGAAAGGAAACTGCAAGTTGGATTTGGGGACTTCCAGGCAGCCCTGGATTATGAAATGCCTTAATCTGTGTTTGGCCAATAGAATAATACACAGGTAGCTGTGGAGACAGAGCACTGATAAATATCAGCAACAACTTATAGAGTGCTTACTACACGCCAGGGGGTGTGTTAATTGTGTTATGTAAATTACCTCTTATCTATAAGCAACTTGGCAATCTAAGTATTACTACTGCTGTTTAGGACAAAAACAAACAAACAAACAAAAACCCAGATATTCAGAGAGACTAAATTAAGGGTAAACAACTGGTAAGCAGTAATGTTAGTTTGCCTTTGCACATGGGCTTCTGCTTATAAAGCATATTTTCTTGGAAAACTTTAGGATCTATCCTTTTATTCTGATCAATTTCTAGAATGTTCTGGGGAGACAACATAAAGAGCTCCCCTGAGTGCTCCCTTTTAAAAAAAAAAAGCCTAGAAATAACTCTACTCAGTTTTCTTGGGAAATCTTTTCTTTTCTTAGCCTCTCTCTGGATTATGACCTCCTACTAATACCACCATACATAAATTGAATTTTATATTTGAATAATTGAAACAATTTTGAACTAGAAAAGGAATAGATATTTTGACCAAGAAGAGAGAACAGATTCTAGGAATAGACACAATTATGAGATATACAATATGGTAGATCTGGAATAGCATTTTGCTGAGTGAAAAAAAATGTATTTTTATTAAACATGTGGCTTTCAACTGGGGGCGAAAAAACTTGATTAGACCTTATTCCAAAATAAACTTTTAATGGGTCAAAGATATCAATATTTAAAAATAACATTAGTAAAAATTATAAGTAATCTTTAAAAAATCTAGAAATGCAAAAACATTTTTTGGCATGATACTATTCCTCAAACCTTCATAGGTTTTTTTCATGAAACAGTGATATTTTGATTAGAAAATGCTCTATAGCTTTGTTTAAAAAAAAGTATCAAAACAATTAAAAGATACATTAGCAAATGAGGGCAAACTGTAGTAAATCTGAAAGAACAGAGCCTAATTTTATTTGCTTATGTATTAGTAAGACAGAAAAATAGTCAAATTAAAATGGACAGGAATAGTATATACACACATACAGAAATATACAATGTTCAAGAAACATATGAAAAATAGTATCCATCTTATTCATAATTACAGAAACTAAAATCATTGGCTATTAGATTGGTAAAAGTAAAAATGCTACTACTGGCCAAATACTAAAGCAGCAGGCTCATGCATTCTAGGTAGGGGTGGTGTTTGGAGGTCTATTTCTCAGTCTGAGTGAAAATATACAATATGCCTATCTGGTAACCCAGCAATACTACTGCTGGACAGTTTTTCCATATAACACACATATTGTAAATCAATAAAGAAATGCGAGCCTTACATATTTATATGTTGGTGTTTCAAGTACGATGTCTTTTGGACTAAAAGGAAACCTGACATATTAAAAAGCGTGAAAATTTACCCGATACATAATAATTTCAAAAAAAAAAAAGAAAAAAAAGAAAAAAGGAAAATTACTGGAACTAAATGCCTGGGGTCTATAAATGAAAGAAATTAATATGATTAAAAAAAATAAAGAGAGCTGAGGTGAGAATCCTGGGGTTTAACCTTTCAGTTCATCCCCTTTTTTGAAAAGATGTAGTTGCTTCCTTTCTGAACAATGTGTCTTCAATATCCAAAGGCTTTGCTAAACTTCTCCTCCTTTCTTTAGCTCCCTTCCTCCCACAGCTACTGGCCCATATCCATGTCCATTCCTGCACCCACACTCCCAAAATTACTTACTTCCTCCAGTCTCCACCGGTCAAAAAGTTTATTGTATTTTCCTGGGTGGCCAACAAATCTGTAAAAAGGCATTTTAGTTCATTAGCATTTCAGTGCGGTTCACTGAAGAACATCTACTAAGGCATCACGACGAGTGCATATGTGGGTGGACATAAATGTTCACTGGTGCAATTTGTCTCCAGTTGACTTCTGCTATGTTAGACATCAAAGTATCTGACTTAAAAAGGAAAAACTGATGCATGAACTAATGGGTCAAGAAAGTACAGACAAACCAACTGGATGACTCTCTATGACCCCCACATAGAGAGTCTTAATGTTTTGTTGACCTAGTTAATGACTATTACAATAATGTGCTGAATTGTTTGGTCCAAAATGTTTCTATCATCAATGTTTCCATGGCACCGGATGGAGTGCTAAGTGCATGGCAAAGCAGAATCATTAGTCCAATATGTGGCTTTTTCATATTTTGCATTAATGGTAGAAAAATGTTAAGATAATAGGTAGAACAGGTTTCCACACTAAGGAATTATAACCCAAGATCACACAATCATTCTTTTCTTCTTTAACAAAACTGTTACTGATGATAAAACAGACACAATTCAACTCAAATGCAGCTAACAGGTATTTTTTTGTGTGTGCCAACTTTAATTGCTGGTGGCTGTCGGAAGTTATTTGAGTGAGAACAGTAATTGTCAAAGTATTGACTGTGTTTGTTTACCTTGCAAAGATAATGTGTAAAAAGTTGACTTACCTTCCCAAAAAGAAAGCGATATAGAAGATGGAGCTGTTTAAATTGACAAACTGGAAGAGGAACATCTTCAGGGCAAAGCTGTTTTCCCACTCAGATTCTGTTCGAGGATATTCTAAAAGGAGCACAGGGTGCGTTGACATAGATGAGATGAATGTCAAGACTCTGGATATAGAGTCAGAAACCCGAAGTTCAAGTGTAGTTTATTTTATTTTATGTTTTAAATTTTTACTATTTTTTTGAGATGGAGTCTCTGTTGCCCAGGCTGGAGAACAGTGACACAATCTTGGCTCGCTGCAACCTTTGCCTCCCAGGTTCAAGCAATTCTCCTGGCTCAGCCTCCCAAGTAGCTGGGATTATAGGTGCCCTCCACCATGCTGGGCTAATTTGTTGTATTTTTAGTAGAGGCAGGGTTTCACCATTTAGGCCAGGGTGGTCTCTAAATCCTGACCTCAGGCAATCCGCCTGCCTTAGCCTCTCAAAGTGCTAGGATTACAGGTGTGAGCTACTGTGCCTGGCCAAGTTTTTTCAGTTCTATGAGGCACTTCGTGTTGCTGATTTCTAGCATCTGTATCTTTAAAATGTGAATGATAGTATCTGCTATTCACAGTTGAAGAAAAGACTTCATAAGATAATCTTTAAACTTTCCCCACAGCTATAAAATTATGATCCCTGTTATTAATACTTATGATTTATAGGAGTCTCTCTACTATCATCATTTAGCAGTAAGCATATATAATGGATTAATCCTTCACTCTAACTGGCTATACTCAATATACTCAATATAGGGGCCTAAACTGTCAACAGAGTTTTCTGAAGAATGAATATTTTGTGTACAGACAGAAGTGGAATGGTAAAGGGAAAAGAGGGCTACATCACTCAGGATCGCTGAGCTCTTAGCCTTACACCTGACTGGCAGGTAATCTCATGCAGGTCTCCTTTTTGCAGTCAGTTTTGTCATCTGTAGAATAAGGGATTTAGACAAGATGATTTATAAGAACCCTGTCAACTCTAACATCTTATGGTTTTATAACACTTAAAAGAAAAAAATTAAGGACTGTAATTAAAAATTAAGGATTCCATGTACTGCAGCCTCATCTCCTATCTAGTATTCAAACAAGGAACAGAAAATAGATATGCCACATCTAACATATATTTTCATGTAATTGAAGAATTCAATAAAGATAGAAAGTGGATAGGATCTCATTTAAGGAAAACACAGGCTCAACGTATGCATGAGCCCAATCACGTGGAAGAAGGAAGGAATAGGTCCTGGGGAGCTCTAAGTCCAAAGGCAGTAGGTGCCAAAAGTAGGAAGGGTCTGTGGGCCACCCAGAAGGGTGACTGGCAAGTGTGCTTCAGTAAGAACGGTCAGTAAGAACCTGTCCCCTCAGGTTTTGACAGGTCATGCTTTCACTGTTGTTTCTTTCTAGTATGTAAATTTAGTTTATTAGCACAAAACTTATTTAGAAAAGCGAATGTAGACTTTTAGGTAACTTTTATTGTGTACATTATTTTTGGTTCTTCATTTCTAATTTTATTTCAGCATTGTCCACAAATGTGTCCTGATTGATTTCTGCTTTGAGGAGAAAAGTTGCAATGTCATTTGTGTCTAAATTGTGTGAATAAGTTTTGACAATGTATCAAGTACCTGAAAATAATATTTGTTTTCTTGTTGGGCGTGTGTGTGTGTGTGTGTGTGTGTGTGTGTGTGTATGTGTATTTTTTTTCTTCAGATGAAGTCTCACTGTGTTCCCCAGGCTAGAGTGCAATGATGTCACAATCTCAGCTCACTGCAACCTCTGCCTTCCAGGTTCAAGTGATTCTTCTGCCTTAGCCTCCTCAGAAGCTCAGATTACAGGCACATGCCACCATGCCTGCCTAATTTTCATATTATTTGGTAGAGATGGGGTTTCAACATGTTGGCCAGGCTGGTCTCGGAACTCCTGACCTCAGGTGATACGCCTGCCTCAGCCTCCCAAAGTACTAGGATTACAGGAGTGAGCCATTGCACCCAGTCTGGTTTGTACATATCTTTTAAGACGGTTATCAGACATGATAGTCAAACACTGTATATCTTTACTTATGTTTTGACTATGGACTTTTCAATTCTTTTTTATATTTCTATCTTTTTTGCTATCTACATTTTAAATTTTGTTAAAGATGCATAGAGATCATGATTATTATACTGATGTGGTAGTTCATTTATTAGTATGAAGTATTCCTCTTTCCCTGCAGATTCCCTAATAGAAACCTGTAGACATTTGATATTTGTTCTAGAGCTCTCCATTGGATTGGTTAAAACCATGAGATCCTCATTGACTGAGGCTCTCCTTACCCAGTCATGCTCTTTTACATGCTTACCTTTCTCAGGAGTTTACCCCTAAGAAATCTCTTGCATTACTAACTCCATCTCAGTGTCTGCTTCCCACAGGACACAATGGATGTCAATATTCATGGAATGCGCTAAATATCCAGCATAAAAAAATGATAAAAGGTTCTCACCAAAGTACATCATTAATCAAATCTCAAAATGAGAAAAGATCCAAAATTATTCTAGAGTGTAAACAAATAAAAAAAATCAAAACAGGTTATGCGCAAAGGACTGCAAATCAGAATGGTAGCAGAGCTCTCAGTAACAATGCTGGAATCCAGAAAAAAATGAAGTTCCTTCAAAAATCAAAGGAGTCAGTATTTCTAAAATAGAATTTCGTACCAAGGAAAACTGGATATCAAGTTTGAGACTAGAATAGAGACATTTTTCAGATATACAAAGTCTTAAGAAACTTACAAGTAGCAAAATAAGGAATTGAGTCAAGAAGGAATAAGACATTGGATTTAGTAAGTAGTATCCCAACTACAGAAAAATATAAAAGGAATTCCCAGAGTGCTGATGAAAGTACATCTAGATGCAGTTGGCTACAAGCCTAGAAAATAACCCATCTAGTTTGGAGGAGACAGCATGAGAAGTTAACTCTAAGAAGAAAATCAAGTTTGTAGAACACTTGATGTGTTTGAATATATTCAGGGAAAATTTAGAGTCTTAGCAAAAACTTTTGGATAAATTAAGAAAGGTATGTTAAAAATAAGCAAAAAAGGAGCCATTATTAGCTTAAAAAACATAGAAGTGGCACAAAAAAGCATACAGAATTATAGGATATACCATGCCTTAGATGTGAAAATAGTCACAGAAACATAATGATGTGAAGATTAATCATTAATTTGGCTAAAATGCTGATATATCTACCGTGGAAGGAGGAGAAATAACTGTGTTTATCAGATAATGAATGATGGAGTATGGAGGGACAGGGCACTGCAGGGAACAGTAAGAGCTAAGTCTTAATAATTCGTACTTTTATAAATGGGAAAGCAAAAGCTATCAAAAGATAAAATCCAGTAATGTCAACAGAAGGATATTATGTAGAAAAAGGGTGGGAAATAACAAAATAAACAGATAAAAATGTTTAAAAAGTAGTTCATTTGGTATAGAAAATAGGAATAGGTGATGTGGTAAAGGATTGGTTTTCATTGTAAATACTGTTTTGGCTTTTAAAATGTGTACATGTAGTATAATACTTTGATTTAAAAATATTGAGGAAAAACTCAAAGAACTGAAAAGTTGGAGAAACAAGCACTCCAAAGTAGGAAGAACCAGGTGTGTTAATCTCTAGTAAAAATATTTTGCAAGTACGTGCATTGCCTCTCTATTGTTATTCAATATAGACCAACCGCCTATACTATCTTTCTCATTTTTATTGGTAAATACTTAAGTAATTGAAATTATTAAAATGCTACATTACATAAAGTAATTTCAGACTGACATGCCCATATGTTATTTTCTGACTAAGGGGTGAAGTAAGAAAAATGCACTTACCTAAATTAGTGAGGAGGTAAGCAATTTTTTCATAAGCCTGCAATAAAAGAAAATAAACAGTGAACATTATTCTTCTCTTTTGTAAAAGGCTGGTATTGACATTATTTGAAGAAACATCTATACTGTTTACAAAATGTCCCGGTTAAATTTTACATTAAATAGAAACATTTATTGAAACTTAGTATGTAATGTTTTAAACATTCATACATAAATGAAATTATAATATAAATGTGTATGTAAATATGTGTGCATATACATGTGTGTGTAGGTACACCTGTAATCTGTAATAACGAGTCTTTTGTGGTAGCTATTTTTATTTTCATTTTGTGAATCAAGAAATGAGAAAACATCCCTAAAAGTCTTTCAGCTAATCAGTGGCTGAGCTGGGATTTAAGCTCAAAATTATAGAGTTTTTTTACTACACTGGAAGGCGAAGTGAAAGTTTGAATTTTGTACTACTGATAAAGAAATTTCTAAACTATGACAAAAGACTGTACACATTTGTATTTGTAAAGAACAAAATTGTTTTTGTATTATTTAAAACAGACTCAAAAGTCAAATCCGTTGAATCTGTAAGATTTTTCTGATAACATTTTTCCTCTTCTGCCATCTTTTCCCTTCTCCTATATATACTCTGACCAACTTTACATAGACTCAAGGAAAGGGCATATATTTTACAATATTCCAAGTAAATATTCCAATAAATATAGTTGGGAAACTATATTCACTGTAGACAGAAGTGCTTGTGGATATATGTATGTGCATGTGAATATTACCTCATAACCACGTAGTTCAATATTGTTTAGATTATCATTTCCAGTAACTGTCTGTTGGCACAAAAAATTAAAAGGTATGCACCTGGACATATTAAAAGTTGTTCACCTTCTCTGACAGTTCTTTCAATAAAACTATTGTGATTATTCCTCTTAGCTGTGATTCAAATCTGCCCCTTCCTAAGATTGAATGTGTTAGCTAGAGACAAAAAGATTACACTGAGTACAATACTCTCATTCTATTCCTAGTATAGGTTATTTTTGTCTTTGTTTAACTACACACAAACCATAATTTTCAAATTTTAGGATAAGATTACTGTGAATTATGAACACCAAGTTATTCCTACTATAATAGGTTCTTTCTTCATGTCCTATTTATTAAGTGAGATAATCAGAGCAGGGTCTCCAAGGAGTACAATGAGATAGACTCGATCATCCAAACAATGGTACTTGAGCACCCAGTGTGCCTCTTGCACTGAGTTGAGGCCCTTTGTGGGACTTGAAAGTTAGTTCTAGTTAAATAATTGCCATTTGGCTTGTGCCAAATAGTGCTTTACATATATTATTATTCCTTAACAACAATTTTATTAAGTATAGTTATAATGATCCCCAGTTTACAGAAGAGGAAACTAAGGCGTAGAATGTCAGGCACCTTAGTAGTGAGACAACACTACTAAGCAAGTAGCAAAGTCAGGATTGACTGTCATGGCTGTCTTGCACCATCTATATCGTGCCTTGTCAGATAAACTATTCCATTTTAAACTATTTTTTTCCAGACAAGGTCTCACTCTAACACCCAGACTGGAGTGCAACGACATGATCACAACTCACTGCATCCTCAACTTTCCGGGCTCAGGTGATCCTCCCACCTCAGCTTCCCAAGTAGCTGTAACCACAGGCACATACCACCATGCCTGGCTCATTTTTTTTTTGGAGGGCATTTGGGCATATTGCCCAGGCTGGTCTTGAATTCCTGGGCTCAAGTGATTCACCCACTCCAGCCTTCCAGAATGCCAGGATTACAGACATAAGTCACCACGCCCTGCCCCATTTAAAATTTTTGTCTTAATGTCTAGCACATTGAGCCACTCTGCAAGCTTAGGATAGAAATATCTGCAACTGATGCACTAGGGGGTTACAATGACATTGGGAGGAAAGTTATACATCACAAAAGATGCCATAATACTGTTGGAAGACTTTCTGGGGTATTTGAAAACCCAAATCATCTAAGGCCCAAATGCTGCGGCTGACTGGCAACATCACTGATGAGCTAGAAAATCAGTTCAAGCAAGAGTGAGTTATTAAATCTCAAACTATAAACTATAAAAATAAATTATTATTTAATATATATCGAACTGTATGGTATATAGCAGTAATCACTTTGGCAGTACATAAAGCTCTGTGTGTGTGTGTGTGCGTGTGTGTGTGTGCGTGTGTGTGTGTGTATGTATATGTGTGTGTGATTGTGTAAAGTTTAATGAGTATGTGCTTGTAGGGGAAAAGGATAAAGGGGTTCAGGGATAACTATTCCAGGCCCTACCTGATACACACACACATATACACATATGATAACATGTTGGAGAACGTGTACTTTAAAAAAATCACTCACTAATGCATTTAGTAAGCTGAAATTCTCTTATTCATATACATTAATTAGGTTAATACATTCATTATAAATTTCTAGTGCATCAGGTAGTGTTTTAGAAACCAAACAACATGAATCAAAAAGACACAGTCTCTACTTTCATGGAACTTAAACCTCAGTGGGTAGAGATAAATGGCAAATAAATATGTAATTGGTCAGGAGGTGAAAAGTGCTAAGAGGAAAAATAAAGAAGGCTGAGCAGAGAGAGGGCTTTGGTAGACACAGAGCATTATTTTGTAGAGTGGTCAGAAAAGCCTCTTCAAGAGGGTAGCATCTGAGCAGAGAAGTACATGAAATAAGGTAGGGAACCAAGCCGAAATCTCAGATAAGTACCTTTGGGACACAGAAACAGGAATTCCAGTGCCCTGAGATGGCACGGACTTCATGTATTTCACGAAGGGTAAGGAAGTTGGAGAGAAAAGAGTGGCAGCAATAAGACAGTGAAGTAGTAAGAGATGAGTCATAGCTCAGAGGGAAACACTTTTTCAGTGCACAGTGGGCCATGGTGAGGATTTGAAAATTCATTCTTAGCTAAGACATCATCTTCCCAGTAATGCTTTGTTTGGGGTGTTATGCAAAAACCAGTTTGGGGAAAAAAAGAATAGGAAAGATAGGAAAAGGACATGGATATTGTGAGAGGCCATACTGTGCAGTTCTACATGGGTGTTAGAACTTTTGCTCTTTTAGTCAGAGCTCCACAATTCAGCCTTCACTGTGAAAATGAACTCCAACCTTTTGCAGAATTGAAAAGAGCCTGCCCCTTTCCAGTAATCTGCTTGCCTGAATTTCTAGAAACTATGGACATAGACATGAACAAAGTGAACAAATACATTTATTAAAAATCCAGTCCTCTGATGAGTTGAGTCACTTGATGTTATCTCTTTTCTTGGTTAAGATGCATCGTCCAACCCTTTGATCCACTCTATTCCATAATAGCCTATTTGCATTGTCATTGGTAACCAGTGGTAACCAGGTATTAAGGAAAGTTAGTTAGGTGTGTTTTGAGGCCTTCAGTGATTAGGTCGATGAAAGAAGTATAGGCATGTATGCTCTGCACTCTAGAGATGGAAATGGATCACCAGTGGAGTAAAGTCCAGAACCTACATGGAGTACTTACATTAGCCAAATGGAGTTAGAATTTTTTTCTTTTTTAATTATAGTGTGCTCTCTGTATAGTATATAGATTTTAAAACAAGAGGAGGAAAGCCAAAAGGAGTCCATTCTTTCATCAAAACATTTCGTAATTAGAATTAATTTTAATTTTAATTTTAGTTTAATTTTAATAAAATTTAACTTCATCTTTAGAAAATTTAATTTTAATAACATTTTAACTTTTGTTAAAGTAATTTTACCATGCTGAAATGATTTAATTAGCTTAATTCTAGATTTCTCAAAGTCTAGGAGTACTTCTTTTCTAATATTTCTATATATTTCTTAAAACTTACCCTTTAATCATGAGGCCAGGCAGCTGTCATGCTGCTGTAACATGACAAAATTAGTTAAAGTTGGATTGTCAAGCAATAAGAATATACATTTTGGGAATAATTTTGCATATTTAATTCTCATTAAAATATTTTTAGGAACATCTCCTGATATAATAGTACCATGCTACAAAGGCACCTTCAAGTAGCATATCACTTTCTGAGGGTAGCAAAATAAAGAAGAAAAGTGGTGGGCTTAGGAAAGAGCAATTCTCCATTTCATATTGTATCCTTGTAGCTGTTTAGCTATATGAATGATAAAGGGATGTTAAAAATAATACATTGACATTTTAATTAGTGTTAAATTGAACTATTTGTAATTTAATTCTGATGGATGCGACTTCTGATCTTGGTTGTGCATCAAAATTACCTTAGATCTCTTAAATTAATGATTTTCTAATGCTATTTGAGGGGCTGGCTGGATCAGAATTACCAGAGTATTTCTGAATTTGTTTTAAATATAGATTTCTTAGCCCAACAAAAGAGATTCTGAACAGGACTCAAGAATCTGTAGTTTTTCCGCCCGGTGCAGTGACTCCTGCCTGTATTCCCAACACTTTGGAAGGCCGAGGCGAATGGATCTCTTGAGGTCAGGCATTTTAGACCAGCCTGGCCAAAATGGTAAAATCCCCATCTCTACTAAAAATACAAAAATCAGCCAGCTGCAGTGATGCACGCCCAGCTACTTAGGAGGCTGAGAAACGAGAATCGCTTGAACAAGGGGGGCAGAGGTTGCTGTGAGCTGAGATAGTGCCTCTCTACTCCAGTCTGAGGGACAGAGCCAGGCTCCATCTAAAATATATATATATATATATATATAAATATAAATAAACAAATCTGTAATTTTTCGAAAGTACTCCAGGTGATTTGAATAGAAAATACTATTCTTTTCTGGGCACGATGGCTCATGCCTGTAATCCATGCCAACATAAAACACAAAAAAGTATTAGCTGGGCATGGTGCATGGTTAGATTAGAAGAATTAATATTGTTAAAGTGTTCACACTAACCAAAGCATAATACAGATTTATGCAATTTCTATCAAAAGACCAATTACATTCTTCACAGAAATAGATAAAACAATCCTAAAATTTATGCTGAACCAAAAACAATCCTGGATAGCCAAAGTAAAAAAGCAT